AGGAGAAGTCTCATGCAGTATATACGCATCATATACATATATGACGGTTTGCCAAAATGTTTTTTCCTGGTTTTGTTGATAAATCCTAATTCTGTCAACTATTTTTGGCAAATGGTCATATATATATATATGGATTACCCTCTGGTAAACTAACATAACTATGGAAAATCACCATTTTTAATGGGAATACTCCTAATATCATCATCCCCCCAATATCAAATATCCCCATGCCATTGTCCCTTCAAAAACTGTGGTGTCATCCTCTACATCCATGGGCCAAGAGGCTGTTGGGCCACACCCAAGGCTTCAAACCTCCGTTGCCGTTGGCGCTTTGGGCTGTCACTTGGGATGACGACTTAGCTGACTTTAGCTGATCTGTTCTGCAAAAAATACGATTTTGATCTATTTTGGATTGGAACATACTTGGATGTGGGTCAAAACCCTGTACCCCCAGTGAACCTCAAGGTTGATGGTCATCCCTTATACCACATGATTAGTAGGTTTTGACCCATACCCACTTGAAAAAACTGTTATGTTGCATAGGCGCACATGTATAGTTTCCTTCACTTCCATTGGGTCGCCGTTGGGCCAATGGGTAATCCTCATGAGTCCTCATGTCCTTGGTAGAACTTCCCATAATCGCTGTTTAAAAAACTGATTTTGGCTGCCATCCCCATTGCAATTTGTCTGATGTCCATTTCGGGTCACATAGCGCGAATGAAGGGTTGATTGCATCTGAAGTAAGAAAATCCGTACCCTCCGATCCAACATGGCAAGTTTGAAATCACTGCGTTTTGGTACAGTAAATGTAAATCAACCTAAATCGTCTGGTTTGGCATTGCCATGTGCTCCAAAATGGGTAAACCTCGGCCCACACCCAGGCTGCTAGCTGGGTTTCCCCTGCTTCCCAGGCGAACCTTCAATGGCCCTGACCTAAGTGTGGCAATTCTGCCTGACGCATGGAAAAAAATATGTCATGCATGATCTTGACAGATTAGATCAGATTAGGTTAGATTAGCTTAGATGTGAATTGTTTTGTTTTATATTAGATCAGATTTGATTTGATTTGGGTTGGATTAGGTTAAATGAGATTAGATGAGATTAGATGAGATTATATTATATATAGTATATAGTATATCGTATATAGTATATCGTATATCGTATATAGTACATAGTAAATAGTATATAGAATATAGTACATAGTAAATAGGATATAGGATATAGGATATAGTATATAGTAGATAGTAGATAGTATATAGTAGATAGTATATAGTATATAGGATCTAGTATATAGGATATAGTAGATAGTATATAGTATATAGTGTATATAGTGTATATAGTGTATATAGCGTATATAGCGTATATAGTGTATACAGTGTATATAGTGTATATAGTATATATAGTGCATATAGTATATATATATAGTATATATAGTATATATAGTATATATAGTATATATAGCATATAAAGTATATATAGTATATATATAGTATATTTATAGTATATTTATAGTATATATATAGTATATATAGTATATATAGTATATATAGTATATATAGTATATATAGTATATATAGTATATATAGTATATATATAGTATATATAGTATATATAGTATATATAGTATATATAGTATATATAGTATATATAGTATATATATAGTATATATAGTATATATAGTATATATATAGTATATATAGTATATATAGTATATATAGTATATATAGTTTATATAGTATATATAGTATATATAGTATATATAGTATATATAGTATATATAGTATATATAGTATATATATATATATTATATATAGTATATATAGTATATATATAGTATATATATAGTATATATAGTATATATATAGTGTAAATATATAGTATATATATAGTGTATATATATATATAGTATATATATATATATAGTATATATATAGTGTATATATAGTATATATATAGTATATATATACTATATATATAGTATGTATATATATAGAGTATATACAGTATATATATATAGTATTTATATAGTATATTTATAGTATTTATATAGTATTTTTAAAGTATTTATATAGTATATATATATATAGTGTATATATATTTACTATATATAAAGAATATATATATATATTTAAAGGATATATAGTATATCTATAGTATATAAATAGTGTATATATATAGTGTATATACATGTATAGTATATATATAGTATATATATATATTATATATAGTATATATATCGTATAAATATATATAGTATATATATTGTATATATATAGCACATATAAAGTATATATTTAGTATAAATATAGTATAGATATAGTATAGATATTGTATATATATAGTATATATATATAGTATGTATATAGTATATATATAGTATATATATAGTATATATATAAAGTATGATTATAGTATATATAGTATATAGTGTATATGTATATACAGAATGTATATAGTATGTATATAGTATATATATAGTATATATATAGTATATATATAGTATATATATATAGTATATGTATAGTATATATATAGTATATATATAGTATATATATAGTATATATAGTATATATAGTATATATATAGTATATATATATAGTATATATATAGTATGATTATAGTATATAGTGTATATGTATATACAGAATAAATATAGTATATATATAGTATATATATAGTATATATATAGTATATATATAGTATATATATAGTATATATATAGTATATATATATAGTATATATATAGTATATATATATAGTATATATATAGTATATATATAGTATATATATATAGTATGATTATAGTATATAGTGTATATGTATATACAGAATAAATATAGTACATATATAGTATATATATAGTATATATATAGTATATATATAGTATATATATAGTATATATATAGTATATATATAGTATATATATAGTATATCTATATATATACTATATAGATACTATATATATTGTATATACATAGTATATATATAGTATATATATAGAGTATATATATAGTATATAAAGTATATATATAGAATATATTTATAGTGTTTATATATAGTATATATATAGTATATATATAGTATATATATAGTATATATATAAATACTATATATATAGTGTATATATATAGTATATATATATATAGTAAATATATATATATATAGTATATATATATAGTATATATATATAGTATATTTATATAGTATATATAGTATATAGTATATATATAGTATATATATATACTATATTTAGTATATATAGTATATATAGTATATATAGTATATATAGTATATATAGTATATATAGTATATATAGTATATATAGTATATATAGTATATGTAGTATATATATTGTATATATATATAGTATATACATAGTAAATATATAGTATATATATATAGTATATATATAGTATATATAGTGTATATATATAGAGTATATTGATAGTGTATATATATAGTATATATATAGTATATATATAGTATATATATATAGTATATATATAGTATATATATAGTATATATATAGTGTATATATATAGTATATATATAGTATATATATACTATATATATATAGTATGTATATATAGTATATATATAGTATATTTATATAGTATGTTTATATACTATATATATATATTTAAATAGTATATTTATATAGTATATTTATATAGTTTATATATAGTATATAGTATATAGTATATATATAGTATATATATAGTATATATATAGTATATATATAGTATATATATAGTATATATATAGTATATATAGTATATATATAGTATATATAGTATATATAGTATATGTAGTATATATAGTATACATAGTATACATAGTATATATAGTATATTTATATAGTATATATAGTATATATAGTATATATAGTATATATAGTATATACAGTATATATAGTATATATAGTATACATAGTATACATAGTATATATAGTATATTTATATAGTATATATAGTATATATAGTATATATAGTATATATAGTATATACAGTATATATAGTATATATAGTATATATATTGTATATATAGTATATACAGTATATATATATACTATATATACTATATATACTATATATACTGCATATACTATATATAGTATATATAGTATATATAGTATATATAGTGTATATAGTATATATAGTATATATAGTATATATAGTATATATAGTATATATAGTATATATATATATACTATATATATTATATAGTATATATAGTATATATAGTATATATAGTATAAATAGTATATATAGTATATATAGTATATATATATACTATATATATTATATATAGTATATATAGTATATATAGTATATATAGTATAAATAGTATATATAGTATATATAGTATATATATAGTATATATAGTATATATAGTTTATATAGTATATATAGTATATATAGTATATATAGTATATATACTATATATATATAGTGTATATAGTGTATATAATGTATATAGTATTTAGTATATCGGATATAATATATAGTTTATAGTATATAGATAGGTATTCAGGTGTTTTGCTGGCTGGATTCAACTCTGGTGAAAAATCTGAAACATGTAAAAATCACCCCAGCAAAGGTCGAAAATGAAAATGATTCAACCTCCAACCAGTCATGATGCTCGCAGTCACAAATGCCAACAAGTACGTTTGGGACATGTTTGGAAAAATAACATAGCGTATGATTGGCGTATGTATCTCTTTGCACGCAGGTACATATGCATGCCATACACTGCCTTTCAAAATCAAACACCACCAACTTACCATAGATCCACACCCACTGCGTTTAAAACCTGTCCCGCTGCCATGCTAACACATCAATTGTAATTTTGCCCAAGGTCAACGAAAACGCCAATGTGTCTGCCGCGAATGTCTTGACCCTGGCCACAACCTGCGCTGTTTTCTTTTTCCGTTCCCCCCAAACTCCCATCCCAGCGCCAACTGGCTGGGTTTTACCTCAACCAGCGCCAGCACCGGCAACTCAGAATTCGTCTCCATATCCTTCCTCTTCACCTGAACGGGCATTGGGACAATTTCGATGGCAAAGATCAAAACCCAATGGTCACAAAAGAAACGCGCAAATATCATGGTTTCAAACAATGATGCGGTTTCAACCACATATGGTTGTAGTTTATCATAATCCCCCAAAACATCCAAATATTTGTAGCAAGATTTTACTGTTCGATTTTTTTGGTGGTTGCTACTGTATTTGCATTGCCTTTTTGGAGAGACAAACGTTATTTTTGTCGTGACAGGCCTTCGCCCTCCGCCGTCTCGATGCCGACCTGACAACCGATTTATGCTGCAGTCGTTGCCTGTCCTCCGCCCTTTATGATTTGACATGAATATATCCATGAATACGATCGTATTTGAAACTGCAAAGGATTCACCTTGTCCAAAACCATTTTTCCAAATATGAAACTAGTATGATCAATATTTTCATTTATCCAAAACCCAATTATTCCGACAGTACATACAGGATACTTTGACCGTTTGATTTTTTCGGTTTTTCTGCATCAAATCCTAGGTTCACATTTACGCGAAAAATGTGACACCCGAACCCACGACCCCAGCATAGCCTCTTCGTAGTCCTTTTCCAACGCGGCAAGATCTTCCCGAGCTTCAGAGAACTCACCCTCTTCCATACCCTCGCCGACATAGTGGTGGACGAAAGCACGTTTTGAGTACCTGAAGCTATATATGAATTTGGTAGCCCGACGCTGAACCTCGAGGATTGCAGCGCCGGAGTGGCACACGGCCACATTAATCTGTGTCGATCACCTCAGCACGCACACGGGCCATGTGCGTAATCACCATGTCATTGTAGAAGCAGCCCTCACGAGGGGAAGGCGAAGCCAGACGTCTTTGAAGAGGATCCTGAGGCACAACATCAGGTCTCGTTTCACTGAAGAAGGAGCATTGCCAACACAAATGATCCCAGGAAGGGACAAAAGAGCATCGGCACCAAAGACAATGGTTTTGCACGGCAACAGGGCCATGCTTCACCTTTTGGTAGAAAGCTGTGCTGCATGCTGCTCCCACCAAAACTGCTTTGCCGTGAAAATTACAGGATTCAAACAAAGTTCGAGTCATTTTGCAACGCTCCTCATCATAATTAATAAGCAGCATCTCGAAGTGCCCGAGCATCACGTCGTTGTCTTTGCAAAAAGGAGCTAAAGAGGCAAAAGCGCCAGGACTCCCTCACCAAGTGGTCAAATTTTTCCAAAAGCTTTGACCGATCCACTTGCCTCAAGGGAACAAGTTGCGACCAGCGCATGAAATAGCGAAGAGCATCGTGGGTCCAATGCCAAGGAGCAACTTCTCTCCAACCAAGAGCATCAAGCCATCGACGGACAGTGCTTTGCCAAGTTCCACGAGTAGGTCTCTGTTCCCAGATCAGCATACCTTTCATCATCACACGCCGAAGAGCACCACAAGCATAGAAACCAGCCATGAAGTCCAAGTCAGCTCTGTGACCATACAAAATCTTTTGCAAATCAGGAGCTCCCTGTTTGTGCGCAAACATGCATTGCTTGAAAGAAGCGTACAACTGGGACATCTTTGGCACGTGGAAAAAATGCCCCCAGGTGGCTTTGGGCACCACCCTGGTCTGCTAGAGCATAAGCTTGATTTTTGTAGGAATCGATTTTGCCCTGCAAAGCCTTTGAGACACCAAGCGTGCCTCCTCCAAACGTTGCTGGGCAGTACCACGTTGACCAGTATTCAACTTGCTGCAAAAATCAACCCCCAAAATGTGGGTTTGATCCACCACAGTAGAAGCATCAAAACCAACCATGAGCAAATCTGCACGCTGGCTGCACGTGCGAGGGACGATTTTCAACTTGGCATTGTTCTCCTCAAGGCCAAAAATTCTGGACCACCAACACCAGTTCAGAAAAACGCGTCTTGCTTGTGTGGCAGTTGACGCCACAAAGGTTCTATCATCCAAGAAAGCCGCCTGGCTGAAGCCTTCAGCCCGTTCTTGCAAAGTCATAGCCCGAACAGGAGCGGACAACACCACATTCAAAGCCAGGGGAGAAAAAGAATCGCCTTGAGGCATGCTTTGAGAAACATTAGCACATTGAGGCAAAGTATGCGACCCCCACTGAAGCCAGTGCTTTTGACCGAGCCAAACATGACCAAGCATCTCAGCCCAAACTGATGGCCAACCGGCGGCCGTCAAGCAACCAATGGCAAGCTCTGGCGCCACATTGTCGAAAGCTTTGGTATAGTCAAGCGTAAGCAAGATACCTTTTTTGTTGTGGAAGTTGTCTTCCAAAGCAGCCAGCGCAGTATCCACACCACGCCCGGGGATGGCTCCTCACTGCGGGTGATGGCAGAAGCAACCACACGCCACAACACCGACTGAACTGCAATTGGCCGCATGTCGGCCACATGAACGCTTCCACCAGCAAGAGACCGGCCATGCTTGGGAATGTGAACCTGGCGCATGTGTTGCCAAGCCTGCGGCCACTGCCGCCTTTCCTGCCATCTGCAAAGCAACTCAGCATAAGTCTGCCAAATTTCCACAGGCCACGCAGCCACTTCAGAGCCACTCCAACCATCCACACCACCGCTAGAGCCCTTCAGGCGGGCAGCACTGTTGTGCAAATCTTCAGCATTCAAAGCGAAAAATTGTAAATCATGAGAAACACCAAATTGTTGCCACATGTTCAAGCTTTCGTCAACATTCATAGTACTTGGTCGGGTCCAAATACGGTTCCAAAAGTCGTGAAGCTTCTGCAAGCCTTCTGTGGGACCAAAAACAGTTTTGGTCTCCCCATTCTGGTCGTAGGACAAGGAAGAAGAGACGATCATTTTGTGACCTTGAAGCCACTTGGTTGCATCTTTTTTGGCAGCCAACATTTTGCTTTGCCAAGTACGAAATCTTTCTTGACGAGTGCTTTCAACTTCATCCTGTAGTTTCTGCCGAATAATTTCTTCATTGACTGACCAATCACAAGAATGTTGCGGCAGGTCACGAGGCCAAGTCCTGAGGATGTTGTTCAGGAGGGAAGGCTGCTGCTTTTCTGTCACAAGTTGACGACGAAATTCTTTGATACGGCCCAAAAGTTTGACCAACCTTCTCCAACGAAAAGTGCGGCAAGTGCATTGAAAATTCAAATCAATACCATTTTCTGCAAAGGCGGGCTCAGAGCCCTTGTTGCGAAAGGCAGGCGGCGCAGCACACTGCAAGCCCAATCGCCGAGCAGCTTGAACTGAAGTCCTTTCAACCTGAGAGTTGAACTGCTGCCACTCTTGTTCAGTATCTGTGCAAGGAATATCCGGCTGCCACATTGCAGCCAATGTCTTGGTCCATTCAGCTTGACCAATGTTTTTAGGATGGAGACCACGCGTCCCAATCATTTTGGCTGAAAGGTCATAGTCACAGTGAACACAAATGTCGCCTTCCAAATCTTATGGTCCGATATGCACTCTGGTCTGTAATGCAAATTGGCACACACGACTGAATTGTCTGTTTTGACAAAATCCAAACACCGATGCCCCTCCCAGCGGCTAGGCACAGCTTGTCCCTCCTGTTGAACATACCAGCAAGTCAGATCATTTGCATCCGGAACCTCATTCCAATCACCAGCAAGAATGACCGGAGTATCGGGTCGTTGGCCGACCAGAAATTCATTGATCAAGGGATCCAACCCCGGTGCAGCAACATTGGGGCGTTGATAAACACAAATGAAAGAAATTGTGCAAAAATCAACTGCAAGCAACTCACCACAATCGTCCAGGGCAGCATGTTGGTGAGCAGCACGAATATCCTGTCTAACCAAGAGAGAGACACCACCACGTTGATGAACTCTATTCCAAGTATCAATTCGGGCCTGCCTTGTAACATGCCAAGCACGATACCCACGGGAAGCAGCAATGCGAGAAAATTGTTGAGCTTCCTCCTTGTCCATGTTTGTCTCTTGCAGAGCCACAATATGTGGTTTTGTAGACGCCAGCAAATCCAAGGTTCGATAGGCCCCTTCACGACCACGAGTGTTGATGCTCCAAAAGGTACAGCTTGACGATGATGACGGACCAGGGTTGCTTTCGACATCACCATCTTCCACAACGTCATGCTGCCATTCAGTGGCCTGCACGCAAGGCCGGTTGAGTTTGTCTTTTTCAGCTTGTTGAAGTTTCCACGCTTTTGACAAAAGGGTCCTCTGCTTTTGGACCAATGCTTCCAAGTGTGAAATCGTTTTTTGCTAGCCAAAAGCGAGGCACGACCAGCTGTACCTGGACACTTGACGGTACACCCTTGTCGGATTCTGGCAAAGAAAGCACTGGGCGAACACCACATTTGCGCACATTTGCTGCAAGCATAAGCTGTAACATCATAGCCTTGGACTTGTCGGAAACCAGGCAACGCAACCACCTTATGACCATTGTCAGCAGCGACTGTGTGAAAATCTTTTGGAGTGGATTGTAAAATTTTCCGTTCATCATGTCGAAGGCCCCAAGTTTTTGCCAACTTCTGTCTCCAGGTAGGGAAATTTTCCCACAGTTGCAGAGTACTTTTCCGTTTCAATTGCGTGCGGCGTCCTCCAACGCCAGGACATTTGTTTTTGCCACTTTTTGCAACATATCGTTTCACATCAGCGACAGAATTCCAGAAACGTGTGCAGACGCTGCAAGTGACCATTGTGTGTTTTGCTTTATCGCCAATCAAAACATGCAAGGTATGACCAGTTTGATCACCATAATTTTGACACTGTTTGGCACATTGGGCCGCAAAATCATTGCCCATCCAACCACCTTTGCTCTTTCGTCTTTTCACAGCATTGCTTTTTCGGGAAGCTTTAGCAGGAGCCCGACAACAAGTCTTGAAGTGCTCAGCGATGCTAATCCTTTTTTGGCTTTCAACTAACCAAGGGAGACCTTCACCACAGTATTCACATATCCAGCGACCCTGAGCTGGAAGAGTGTTGACTGGACGAGTAGGAACAGCAGCGTAATGGACACGCAGCTGATGAAAAGCAGATTTTGGCTTGTCTGAGTGCACGTTGCGGATATGTCCATTCCGCTTTTTAGACAGCAAAAACTGTGTCTTGGCACGAAGAACACGATTGCAAACTGTACAGTTCCAAGAGAAATCATCTTTACCTAAGTCAACTGGTCTGTTTAAGGCAGCAGGACGAGGAACCGAAGAAAACGTAGACGAACAGGACGCTCTGTCAACTCCTTGGTTTTGCAAGCGCTTCCGCACAGACGTGCGAGTCTTGGCACATGTTTCCGTGGTTGCGTCATCAAGCTGATCACCTGCTTGTAATTTCTGTTTGACGGAAGATCTAGTGCCAGTGGATCTAGCACCGACCTGAGTCTCGGATCGGTGGGTACTAGCAGAAACCTGACATTTCAACTTTTGACGAATGGTGAGTCTGGTACCGGTTGAAGAAACCGATTTGGCCGCGCCACGAAGACCGGTGTGAGGGCCTTCAATCACATTGGCAAGGTCGGGCTCGAAGTGTTGTTCGGGCACAAGACATGTAAAATGTTCTTGGTTTTTATCATACTTCAAGTACAAGGGTTTGCGTTGACTCTGTTTGTTGAAAACGTAAGTCCTTGTAGACTCATTGTCGACAGCGTAGAGGAAAATGGGTCTATCGACTGTCATCGAGAACGCTGTAACTTCTAAAGCACTGCCCCAAGCACCTTGTTGAGCCAACTCTTGGAGATGGACAGAAAAATCGCGGTCGGGGATTTCCTTGTTTCCTTGGCAAGGAAAACATCCATCCCAGTGCCGGGCATATGAGTCTTGGTACTTGGTCAGGTGTGCAACAGCAAGCGCCCGGCATTGCAGTGGGCTTTTTTCTTTGCCTCCAGCAGCAGTGAGGCCATGGCTAAGGGCCCAGAACAAGCAATCACCATTGCCAGGATTGGCAATCTCTTTGAGAGCCTTGGGGATATTGTCAGTGGGTTTCTGCTTTTTGGCAGGGCCTTTTTGAGGAGATACACTCTGCGGCCTTTTTGGCGCAACCTGAACTTCTTCCGAGCCTTCCATGTAAGCATCTGGAGGGCCAAACAACGTAGACTCTGTTTCTTCCGCATTTTCCCCGGTTGCAACAACTGAGTCCATTAGGGCCGTGGGATCATGACGGTCATCTTTTGGCACACTGCGAAATTGCACACGCTTCTCACCAGGAAGCTGGTTGACAGTTCGACGCACTGGAGGCTTGCGGCCACGCGCACAAACAGAAATGGCATGGTCACCATATTGAACATTGACTAGATCAGTATCAGCACGAATAGCTTTAAAAACAAAGCCAGTGTGCTGCCTCCACCGGAACTTTTCCAAAGGTTCACATTGATCAAAACCTGCTTTTTCCATCAGGAGTTGAAAGTCTTCAACGTCAAGAAAACGAGGCACATTTGTGGCTTTCCAAGTCCGAGGTCTGGGAGCATCGCACTGGGAAGGAACTTGACGAACTCCAACGTGAGTGGAGCCCAAACGAACGCCGAGACCATTTATCACGGCTTGCTTTTCACATGCTGCAGCATTTTGCTCAAGGCTTGCTCCAGGTTCTCTCATCCAACATGTTTCAGGAAGAAGGTTGAAGGGCTTTGGCAAAGGATCTGCAAAACGAAGGGGTTCAAAGAACCAACGGTTCTGAGCATGTCTTTGACCACTGAGCTTCAGAAGAGCAGGCGCCACACGAACATCAACTCTCATGACACCACTAATGATGGCACCAGATTGATTCCATCCCCACGTATCCCCAATCTGGGTAGCATTACACCACTTGGTCTCGTGAATCCACCGACGAACAGCAAGACCAGGATTTTTCTGAACAGCATCAAGATTGCGGACCAACTGCCTATGTGTGGACGCACGTAGGACAACAGTGTTGCGTGCTGTCTCTTCACGTTTGACAGCCACTTCTTTTTGAACAAAGCGCGGGGCTTCAGCACCCCCTTTACACATGAGAAGAACTTTTTGAAGCTTCAACACCCCATTCACAACAAAGGGCACACGCGCTGTTCGAGTTTCAGTGTCCAGACTGGTTTGAAACTCATCAATTGACTGGTGCTCAGGGATCACCACTGTAGCTTTGACTGCGGGGGCCGACCCCAGGAGAGCCCACATTTCAGGTGCACTTTCACAACGAGCTGGTGCGAGAACCAAACGTTTTTCTGTCTGCAACAAGGTTTCAGTTTCATTTGGTGTTGTTGCAATTTTGACTTGCCAGTCCTCAGCTCTCAAACGGCCTGGCAACTGCATGTGCATTGCAGAAACCTGCTTCTGGGCTTTAGGCTTGGGACCCCCACGAACAACAGTGACCCAATCCGTCTTTTTGGCAGGTTTTGGTTTTTCTGGCAAACGTGTAAACCGACTAACCAGAGACTTCAACTCTTGCAGTAAGTTACGTGGTTTTCGTGAAATCAAACGCTGCAGCTCAACGAGCAGTGCCTGATCAGCTTCATCAGTGTCAAAACTGTCCTCCTCTTCCACAGACTCAAAACTGGAGAGGAGTTTGGTCAAACCTTCCAGGAGTTTGCTGCTTTTATCAACTCCACCTCCCCTAAAGGATGGCATTTCATTGCAGCACTTGGCTCTTGGCTTAAACACTCGCCAAGAGTATCGTCTTCCACCAATCCATTTGGCCCTTCCCATAAGCGTAGGTCTCCACTGCTTGTGCAAGAAACCCAGCCCCAAAACCAGGGAGGAGCACCAAAGGCATAGAAACAAAACTTGCAGAAACATACTGCTGACTGTCACCATTGAGATCACTTTAACCGTTTCCGTTTAAAGCATGAGCACGTTGATTCAAAATACGTCGAGATAGACACCAAACTGAGCTCAACTCTGCACCAGCCGAAGCTGGCCCGCCGGCACCACGATGGAGGTGGAGCTCATGCCGGCTTGAGTACCTGAAGCATGTATGAATTTGGTAGCCCGACGCTGAACCTCGAGGATTGCAGCGCCGGAGTGGCACACGGCCACAGCTTTCTACCAAAAGGTGAAGCATGGCCCTGTTGCCGTGCAAAACCATTGTCTTTGGTGCCGATGCTCTTTTGTCCCTTCCTGGGATCATTTGTGTTGGCAATGCTCCTTCTTCAGTGAAACGAGACCTGATGTTGTGCCTCAGGATCCTCTTCAAAGACGTCTGGCTTGGCCTTCCTCTCGTGAGGGCTGCTTCTACAATGACATGGTGATTACGCACATGGCCCGTGTGCGTGCTGAGGTGATCGACAGAGATTATTGAGTACCTGAAGCATATAACTATTTGATCACTGACAATGGACCTCGAAGATCACACTGCCAGGTGGCACCCAGCCATTAGTTCCTGTCGATGAGTTGCGCCCGCACAGAACTCAAATGCGCATGTGTGAAATTTGAATCCTCTCAAGTTGTTTTCCCCCCCCTAAGGGACCATTTTAGATCCCAAAAACGGTTTCTAAAATGGAATCTACAAGGGGGGTCTTAGAACACAATTTGTTTGGCAGTTATTCTGTTTTTGGGTTCTAAAATGGGTTTTAAAATGGTATTGTTCACTCTTAAAAAAACAATTCAAAATCAATTAAAATTACTTTACTTCGTGTGATCCCCACCATGACATTTATACATTTTGTTACTGGCAAATCTTCTGGCATTCTATCTGACATATTTTCTGGCATTCGATCTGGCATTCTATCTGGCATATCTTCTGGCATTCTACCTGGCATATCTTCTGGCAGATGTTCTGGCATATCTTCTGGAAGATGTTCTGGCATATCTTCTGGCATATCTTCTGGCATATGTTCTGGCATATCTTCTGGCATTCCATCTGGCATTCTATCTGGCATATCTTCTGGCATATTATCTGGCAAATCTTCTGGCATTCCATCTGGCATTCTATCTAGCATATCTTCTGGCATATTGTCTGGCAAATCTGCTGGCAAACATTCTGGCACTTTATCTGGCATATCTTCTGGCATTCTAGCTGACATTCTATCTGGCATTCTATCTGGCATACCTTCTGGCATTCTATCTGGCATATCTTCTAACATTCTATCTGGCATATCTTCTGGCACTCTATGTGGCATATCTTTTGGCGTGGATACTCGCGGTTGAGGTCCGGCAGGGAACACTGGGCGTGGATGGTCGTGGTTGAGGTCCGGCAGGGAACACTGAACCAAAAAAAAAAGCGGTTGAGGTCCGGCAGGGAACACTGGGCGTGGATGGTCGTGGTTGAGGTCCGGCAGGGAACACTGGGCGGGGATGGTCGTGGTTGAGGTCCGGCAGGGAACACTGACGTGGATGGTCGTGGTTGAGGTCCGGCAGGGAACACTGAGCATTGATGGTCGTGGTTGAGGTCCGCCAGAGAACACTGTGGATCGCGGGTCGCAGTTGGACGAGGAGGACGAGGAGGACGAGGAGGAGGACGACGAGGAGGAGGAGGAGGAGAGGAGGAGGAGATGAGGAGGAGAGGAGAGGAGCAGGCAACTGACATAAAATCTAACAACCCTCACCTGGCAGGTGGGGAAAAATCCTTGTTGAAACCATCGCATTGCAGGAAAAAAACGATGAGGAAATTTGCGCCCCAAAAAAATATATAGATCAACATGAGGCGAATCCAAAAAAACATTGCAAAGAACCCTCCATGATACTCCACAACATTTTTCAGTGGGTGACGGCCACAGATGGTTTTTTTCCTACCTACCCAGCCAGGTTTTTGCCCGCAATCTTTGCTTCCTTTCTTGCCAAACCATTAAAGTACACCCGAACACAAATGCCTTCAGAATGTCCCCTAAGTCGCCCCTTTTCAAATGAATTTAGTTTTGGACTAGTTCCATTTCCCGTGCGACTGCTTGTTTAATTTTATCCAGACATGTCCAACCAATTATATAAATTTTCAATAAAACAGCAAACTCCTACATGCAGTTTTTGTCAAAACAATAGTGTTTTTGCGTCAAAGGAGAAAAACAAGCAACAAATCACCACATGCGGAATCAGCAAGCAGCTGTGTGGGGGACTACAGCTGTCGCAGCTGTCACTTGAAAATATGGTAAGTTTGCCTGCGCCATACATCGTCATATGCTCATATACAAACTTCCAAAGTTCTACAATGCGTACGCGACCGGAAGTGCTACAATGATTTGTTTCATTCTAGAACCCTCCGTGTTTATCCCTAAGGGGGGGCATTCTAGAACCTTCAAACTTGAAGGTATAAGTTTGATGCATGCTGTACCTCAAGGATAGCAGTGCCAGTGCCAGGTGGCACACAAACACAAGGCTGGGCATTCTCCAGGATCACGCTCCGCACATGGGCCATATCCTGGAGCACTGCTTCGCCATATACTCGACCTCCTTGCAGGGAAGGCCATCCCAATCTTCGCTGTAATGGGTCCTGCGGCACGGCGGGACGAGTGGATTCAAGGCACGACAGTGCCAACACAAGTGATCCCATCCAGGAGGGATACAATTCAACTGACACCAGGGGCAACCAGAGCCCACATCAGAGCGCAGCATTGCTTGATACATTGCAGTACTGCAAGCAGCACCAACCATCACTGCTTTGCCATGACCATTTTGGAGTCAAAAGCAGCCCGAACCATGCAGAATCTTTCTTCATTGTAAGGGGTACCACGCAGAACAGCTGCATCACGACGTTGGCTGTGTAAAAAAGCCGAAACATTGGTAAAACGCCAAGATTCGCGAACAAAATAATTAATTCTCTACCTGCCAGGTGAGGGTTGTTCGATTTTATCACAATTGTTCTCCTCCGCCTCCTCCGCCTCCTCCTCCTCATCCTCCACCTGCTTCTCCTCCTCCTCCTCCTCCCTCTCCTCCAGCTTCTCCTCCACCACCTTTGCATCCACTCCCATGTTCACTTCCGACTTGCCAACTCTTCGCCAAGCTCTTCGCCAACTTCCGCACGCAGTGGGCACTGCTGGACCTCAACTGCAAGGGTCTGAGCGCACTGGGCACCGCTGGACCTCAACCTGGGACCTTCCGAGCTCAGTGAGCACCGCTCTCAACCTGGGACCGTCCGAGCTCAGTGAGCGCCGCTGGACCTCAACCTGGGACCCTCCGAGCTCAGTGAGCACCGCTGGACCTCAACCTGGGACCCTCCGAGCTCAGTGAGCACCGCTGGACCTCAACGGCCAGAGATACAATGCTAGAAGATATAGCAGATGGAACGCCAGATAGAATGTCAGAAAGAATGCCAGAAGATATGCCAGATAAAGTGCCAGAATGTTTGCCAGATAGAATGCCAGAAGATATGCCAGATAGAATGTCAGAAGATATGCCAGAAGATATGCCAGATAGAGTGCCAGAAGATATGCCAGAACATATGCCAGAAGATATGCCAGGTAGAATGCCAGAAGATATGCCAGATAGAATGCCAGAAGATATGCCAGATAAAGTGCCAGAATGCTTGCCAGAACATATGCCAGAAGAGATGCCAGAAGATATGCCAATAGAATGCCAGAAGATATGCCAGATAAAATGCCAGAAGGTATGCCAGATAGAATGCCAGAAGGTATGCCAGATAGAATGCCAGAAGGTATGCCAGATAAAGTGCCAGAATGTTTGCCAGAACATATGCCAGAAGATTTGCCAGATAGAATGCCAGATAGAATGCCAGAAGATATGCCAGAAGATATGCCAGAAGATATGCCAGAAGATATGCCAGATAGAGTGCCAGAAGATATGCCAGATAGAATGCCAGAAGGTTTGCCAGTAACAAAACGTATAGATGTCATGGCGGGGATAACTCGAAGTAAAGTAATTTTTCCACAGTGGCATTGAATGTATTCCGGTTGCCCGCTTGGCAAAGCTGCAACCATTCCATGTGAAATCGACAACCATGATGTTGCCAGTGCAAGGCCCGACGACCAACCATCCCAGACTATCCAGCCACTTCTGCACGCTGTGCAACCAAGTTCCACAGCTAGGCCGTTGGTGCCACAGAATGCGGCCTGCAAGTGCTACTTTCCGCAAAGCATTTGCAACCAGGCATCCAGCCATGAAGCTGAGATCCGCGCAGTGACCTTCCAGCATTCTCCGCAGAAGAGGCGAGCCAGCTTGTGCACAAACATGAGTCTCTGATAACATGCCTAGAGAAGTCATCTTGGGAGTTCAGAAGAAGCATCCCCAGCAAGCTTTGGGAACAACCCGAGTACGCCAGAGCATGTGCTTTGTCTTGGGGGGTAAAGAGGTGACGGTGACCAGACACAACTTCTGTGCCTGCAGTTCAGCTGCAGCCACACGGTCAATTGCAGTGCGTCGACCAGCCGTATTCAAGCGATCACAGAAGTCCACACCAAGCAGGCGGGTTTGACTAGAGATCGTATTTCGGGAAAACCCGACATTCACCAATTCAGTGTGTTGATGGCGCTGACGAGGGGCAATCTTAAATTTGACCACCATGCGCAGTTCAGGTAAACACGACGTGCCTGAGCTGCATTAACCGCAACGTAAGTGCGATCATCCAGAAACACGGCCTGTGAGAGCCCCACATGCTGCTCCTGCACACAGAAATCCCGAAGGGCAGCAGAAAGCAAAATTTTCAAGGCCATAGGAGAAAAACTATCGAGTGCAACAAACTGTTGGATACAGACATGTGCCAGCATCTGACACCAAACCGGTGGAAATCCTACCGCTTCCAAGCACTTCAGAGCCAAGCTTGGAGAAACCATATCAAAACACTTGCTGTAGTCCAGAGTGACCAGAATGCCCTTCTTGCGGTGAAAAGCGTCTTCAAGCGACGACAAGGCAGTGTCAATACCTCGACCGGGATTCCCCCCGTGCGACTCCAGAGGCAAGATTTGCTGCAACCAGCGCAGGATATTGGCTTGGCGAGTGATACTTGACGCAACAACTCTCCACAGCACAGATTGTACACATTGGGCGCATGTTTGACACATGCACAGCACCACCCTTGGAGGAAATGTCTTTGGGAATATGGACCTGTCGACCATGTTCCCAAGCTTCAGGCCAAACTTGACGAAGCTGCCAACTGCAACAGTTGCATATCTTCCCCAGGTCCTACGTGGCCATGCCGAGACCTCATCACCAGACCACCCATTAGGGCCTGCACTGGAACCAGCTGTTCGGCTGGCAGCTTGCCACAGATCTTGCGGAGTAATGTCAACAACATCCAACGGAGAATGATGACCTTGACGGCACCACTGCTGCAGCGCAAACTCCTCATCGATCTTGTTCTGGCGGAACCAGATGGAAGACCAAAAGCTTTCAAGCTGGTGAAGGCTGTCATTTACACCGCGTGTGGCAACGGATTGACGACCCTTGTCATATAGCAAGGATGGTGAAGCAACACTTGTATGACCATTCAACCATTTGGTGGCGGCACGTCCACCCCTCATCATATTACGCTTCCCGTTGTCCAGCCGCTGCTGCTTGGCAGCCTCAACCTCAGACTGCAAGGCATGCTCAACTTTCTGCTCATTACGAATCCAGTCTGGGGAAAGTGAGAGGGTAGAAGGCCACGTGCTGCGAATATTGCGCAACAAGGCGGCAGGTTGCCGACCAGCAGGAAGTTGTCATTGATATTCCTTGACATGACCGAGCAATTTGGCCAGCTTGCGCCATCGAAAAGTTTTGCATATTTTGCATGTATTGATAAAGTCAAAATCAGTGTGGTGATCCGCAAAATTGGGGAGGCTACCCTTTGGGCGGAGACAAGGAGGCCGCCCGCGGTGCACATTGAGAATTTGCAATGCACACACACTTGCATGTTCAGCGAGCTGGCTGAAGTCTAGCCATTCTTGTTCAGTGCAACTCTCCTCTGCAGCCGGAATGTTAGCCCAAGCTTGCTCCAAAGCCACTTTCCAGTCATGAAGCCCCACATTGCCGGGCAAAAAGGACCTTGTAGGAATCATCCGCTTAGTTGCATCCAAGCTGCACGAGTGAGACAGGCAGCCCTGCAAATTTTTATGGTCAGAGATGTGTTCCAGCCGGTAACTTAAGTCAGAGCATGTGACCAGCTGGCTCGTTTTGATGTAATCCACACACCTATTACTTGCCCAACTGCTGGCCACGGGCTGACCGTCCTCTTGGGCATACCAGTGCGTCAAGTGTGCCTTTTCGTGAGGCAATTCATTCCAGTCACCCATGACAGTCACGGGGAAGTCAGAAGATTGCGCTGCAAGGACATCGTTCAATTCCGAATGCATTCCTGTAGCAACAGTGCGTGGGCGTTAGTAAACGGTGACAAACAAGAAAGTGCAGAAGTCCACAGCTAAAAATTCACCATAGTCAGTAAAGCCACAGGTCCGGTGTGTGGCACGAACGCCTCTTCTTGCCAAAATGCGCGCCCCTCTTGAAGTTCTTTGCCCAAGGCATCCACCCGAGCAGGTGGGGCAACATACAACATCGGTACCCCTGCTTAGCTGCGAAACGGGCAAGCTGCAAAGCTTCACGCTCAATCAAGTTGATTTCCTGCAAGGCCGCCAAGTGTGGCTTGTCTTTTTCAGCGGCCAACAAACCCAAAAGTCTAAGCACCTTCGCGACCGCGTCTGTTGGCAACGCGCCTAGACACCAGCCAAACGCAAGGCACACACTCTTTATCGCTCCCTTGGCGCCAATTCGCAAATTGGCCCGTGACCACCACGAGGAGCTGGAGCAATTGGTCACAACAAAATGCAAGGGCCCTGCGGCCCACCTTCACAGACATGATATCATGTTCCACAACCTGTTATAGTGTGCCACAGAAACCGACCACTTACAACCATTTTCCGCAAAGCATTTGTCACAAAAGAGCCAGCCATAAAATGGAGATCTGCCGCGTGTATATCCAGAAAGGAGAACCCCGCTTTTGCACAGACATGAAATTTCAATAACAAGCTTGTACCGATTTTCATCACTGGAAACACCCCCACGAGGCATTGCGTTGCAATATCCCAAATAAGCACTGAAAGCAGCACGTTCAAGATCATGGGTGACAAAGAATCGCCTTGCAGCACACTCTGAGACACAACTGTGGCTGAAGGTGAAAACACGCACACAGTTGCAACCGTTGACGCTGATCCAGCCAGATGCGCACCAGCAGCTGGCAGGGTTGGTTTAGGATCTTAGGGTTGATTTAGAATTCATTTGGGGTTTGTTTTATCGTTTATTTCCGATTGGTTTAAGGTCTACTCAGGGTTGCTTTGGCATGTATTTTTAAAATTGGTTTGATATCTATCTAGGGAAGATTTACCATCTATTTAGGGTTGCTTTTATTTTCACTTGGTTTAGGATCTATTTAAGGTTGGTTTAGGATCAATTTATGGTTCGTTTAAGGTGTGTTTAATGTTGGCTTAGGGTTTACTAAGGTTTGGTTCAATATCTATTTAGGGTTGGTTTAGGATCTCTGTTGGTTAAAAAATCTATGTGGGCTTGCTTTAAGATCTACTTGGGGTTGGCTTGAAATCTATTTAAGGTTGGCTTGGGATTTATTTAAGGTTGGTTTTAATGTTTCCTTTCGCTTGGTTAAAAATTATTTAGGGTTGATTTACAATCTATTTAGGGTTGCTTTTAGAGTTTATTTTCGGTTGGTTTAGGATCTATTTGAGGTTGGTTTAGGATCTATTTAGAATTGGTTTCAGGTGCGCGTGGTGTTGGCTCAGGATCTTTTCAGCGTTGGTTGAAGGATTGTTTCGGGTTGGTTTGAAACTTGTTTAGGGCGTGTTTAAAGTTTATAGTTTACTTAGGTTTGGTTAACATCTATTTGGAGTCAGTTTAGGGTCTACTGAGGTTGTTTCAAATGTATTCAAGGTGTGTTTAGAGTTTACTTAACTTGGGGTTGTTTTGGGTTTTTTTGGAGTTGGTTCCGTGGATATTTAGGCTTGCTATTTTTCTATTTGTTGAATCAAACCACTGATCACATCTTGATTGTTCTTGCTGCGCGTGGCGCTTTCTCATGAAGTTACACCTAAACGCCCTCCAATGAACCCCTGAACCAGCAGCTCATTAACGAAGCTCAAAGCATCTGAATCAAAGCGGGGAAGCCCACTTTTTTGTGAAAACTATAAAGCTAAATACGGCAGAAAAAGGTACATGGTTTGTTCACGTTTGTTCGCAACATTCAAATTTCAAATTCAGGGAAAACCAAAACTTTCAGGGTGAGCCTTAGCAGTGGCAACACCACGGCGCGAACACAGCCCCGCCCAACATCTTCCAAAACCATGTTGCATCAGGTCGAACTTGTGGTCAATGCGCGAGAAAACCTCCGCAATAGCCGTGGAGTTCGAGATCATGCAGCAGGCGCGCATGACTTTGGCCAGGTCACCCCCTGGTACCACAGTGGGCGGCTGATAATTGATGCCACACTTGAAGCCAGTGGGGCACCAATCCACGAACTGAATGGTACCTGCACATGTGCAGAAACCATCAAACATTGACACAAAAAGAACACCAGTGTCCCTGAGACTAAGTCTTTAGAGACAACACGCCTGCGCATCAAATGGCGTGGCTCTTTTTATTATCTATCATATACATGTATATATATATATATATACACATATGTATGTGTAAATACATATATATATATTATGTATGTGTATGTAACTATTATATATAGAGTATCTGTATGTCTATATATATATATGTAGTATCTGTATATATATATATATAGTGTATGTATGTATGCATGCATGCATGCATGTATTTATGTATGTATGTATGTATGTATGTATGTATGTGTGTATGTATGTATGCATGTGTGTATGTATGCATGTGTGTATGTGTGTATGTGTGTATGTGTGTATGTATGTATGTATGTATGTATGTATGTATGTATGTATGTATGTATGTATGTATGTATGTATGCATGTGTGTATGTATGTGTGTGTGTCTGTATGTATGTATGTATGTATGTATGTATGTATGTGTGTATGTATGTATGTATGCATGTGTGTGTGTTTGTATGTATGTGTGTGTTTGTATGTGTGTGTATGTATGTATGTATGTATATATATATATGTGTATGTAAATATATATATGTGTGTATATATATATATGTATGTATGTATATATGTGTATATATATATGTATGTATATATGTACGTGTATATATATACATATATATGTATGTATGTATGTATGTATATATATATGTATGTATATATGTATATACATACATATGTATATTTGTATGTATATTTATGTACGTATATATATGTATGTATGTATGATTATGTATGATTATGTATGATTATGTATGTATGTATGTATGTATGTATGTATGTATGTATGTATGTATGTGTGTGTCTGTATGTCTGTCTGTCTGTCTGTCTGTCTGTCTGTCTGTATGTATGTATGTATGTATGTGTGTATGTGTGTATGTGTGTATGTGTGTATGTGGGTATGTGTGTATGTGTGTATGTATGTGTGTGTGTGTATGTATGTATGTATGTATGTATGTATGTATGTATGTATGTATGTATGTATGTATGTATGTATGTATGTATGTATGTATACAGGAATATCTCAAAATAAAGGGTGCCCCGAGCTTTTAAATTCAAGCTTAATTTCTAAGGTTGGGGTACTCCTCTTTTTGAAACATTCCTATGTATATATTATATTAGATAGATAGATAGATAGATAAATAGATAGATAGATAGATATATATACATATTTTCTGTAGTATCTTTACATATATACATATATTATATATAAATATATAGTCCTGTACCATTATAAAAATGCGCTGCTGAGGTTTCAGTCTGCTTGGGGTGGCCACCTTTTGCTAGTTCCGACAGATCCGACCCGTCACGAGGCATCGCTGCATGCGTGGGCTCTACGCGGCGACTGATCGCGGCGTATGTGTCCAGATAGACCAACCAATTTTGGCTGTAAACCAGCATCTTTTTTGAAAAAAAAAACGCTAAATCATCATGATTGTTAATCTGAAATAGAATCTGAAATAAATCGAACAAAATCGGCAATGACCTGAAATAAACATGGATCTTTGAAGCCAACACACACATTGCCACAAACTGTGCTGGGGTGTTGTATGGTCACATTGTTTTTTCTCACAAAAATGTCACAATATAAAACTGTAAATGGTTTCGCGGATTTATGATCAAACAGTTCACTGTGTTGATGAATTCGATTCGCATTTGATTTTGGAAGCGTTTGGCCCGGCCCAACAGCACAAATGGATTCAAGAAGTGACCCCAAAGTAGGTGCGTCTGAAACTGGAAAGTACAGCGCGGCGCACCCCCAAATAGCCTTTTAAATACGCGAATAATGATTCACCGCTGGCTGTTTATGGTACTAGTATCTGCCAACATGCTCAGACAAACCAACCATTATTCATAAATTCATCCATTATGTATCTGCATATGTTTGATCACTAAAATGTTCAAAAACATGATTTTGATGTTTTTTGATTGTTGAAATATGTAGTTAAACCCACTTGTTCAAGCCAGCTGTCCCTGGTCTTAAAATGATCCATGCTACGCTTGGTCTTGATGGTGGCCACGGCCGCATTCACATCCTTGGGCACCACGTCTCCTGAGCTTGATGCGCAACGGGCACAAAGAAACGGCTAGCTTCAACAAAAACATGTATGCCCAGGTGAATGTTCATGAACGCACACAGGCGTTGAGAATGATTCTCGTCAGTTTCTAAGTTGACCAAACAAAAAGAAACATCCACTTTCCGCACATGACAATCTTAGATCATCCTGGACTACCTTCCAAGTCAACACATGCCAGCCTGCTATCGCTTGCCGAGTGTCCGCGGTACATCATGCAGCAGGCCATGTACTTGCCATGACGAGGATCGCACTTCACCATCATGGAAGCGGGCTCGAAGACCGACATGGTGATCTCTGCCACGGACAGCTGCTCATGGTACGCCTTCTCCGCAGAAATCACTGGGGCGTAGGATGTGAGCATGAAGTGAATTCCTGAGCAGTTGGACGCCAAAGCTTTGTTGACTCAAACCTTGCGGCTGAGCACGCTTAATTCAGGAGTTTATTTTTAAAAAAAACTTAAGCAAATTCATCCAAGGATTCGAGGATAAGGGACTAAATTTGTCTGGAACTCGGTGATGTCCACGTTGAGCGCACCATCGAAACGCAGGGAGGCTGTCCTGTGCTGATTCAAAGTTGAAGTTTGTTTACAGGCAAGAATATCAGGGCGTTGGGCGGGGGAGTGAGCCATAATGTGTGGTGAACACAAATAAAGCATAAACCATCCCAAAGTTCTGGTTCATGATTGGGTTTGCCAAATTGAGACATGATGTGTGACTAAAACCATGACATGGCTGCTTTAAACAATCCCAAAATGGAGATTCATTATCTATTGGGTTTGCCAACTAATTACATGATGTTCATGATGTGTGACTAAACCGAGGATATCACATCTCGCTGTTGATACATTCTGAATTTCCTGTCGTCCCGCAAGTAGTTGGTGGCTTACGGTTTCATCACATCTGTGACTGTTCCAAAACGCCGATCCGTGACACTAACCCCATCCCCCTAATATCCAATACAGGTAGCCTTGAGAGTTGGGACCCAAAATTCATAGATCCAATACAGTCCAATACTACACCAGGATCATCAGGGTTTCTTTGTTCAGGGGGTAACAATCGGATCTGATCGTTCAAAATCCAAGTGTCAGAGAGGAGATGATCTGGGCGATCAGTCGGTTCAGGTTGGTGTAGGTCGGACGTTCGATGTCCAGGTTCCTGCGGCAGATGTCGTAAAGCGCCTCGTTGTCCTCACATCGCGACAGCTGCCCTGTTCCAAAACCAACAAGGGGAGGCTATGGGAACACATGCAACAAACGAGGCCATTAATGAGGACACATTTTTTTACAATACTATGAAGATCTCTAAAACGGGTATGGATCACACATTGGGCAAACCAACCTTGGCTGAATGCAATCCCACATGCCTACTTATTGATAGTTCTTGGTCTGCGTGTTCATGGGTCTTGAATCTTGACCTATTCCAAAGAAACATGGGAAATCGATGGAAAAATCACGAATAAAAAGATGGAATAAACCACCGTGCAACCTTCAACCTCCTTTAACAGGGTTGTTCCAAATACCCAAAGTACGAGGGTAGGGATCGCGTGCATAAAGATGTTCAACCATCGGTTTGCTAGTGCAGCAAAGCTGTTGAATGAGAAGAAATGCAAAATCCCAAAACAAAAAATGGAAATCCAGCAGCAACTTGGACCTATGATGGATCTAGGCAACCAGTGTTTTTCAGTCGCCAGAAACGCTGGGAGGAGCCAAGTTGCATACATGATGGTCACATCGGTGTGTTCCAGCAAAGAATGGACGCACCTGCCAGTCATTGGGTGATCCCTCAACCCACACTGCCACTGATCACCAAGGTCATCAATTTTTTTGATACTGGCAATGACCCCCTATGACTAACCTTCACCATGCAATACTGGTAATCACTGTTAGTGGGTGGAAGGGTAAGTCAAGACATTCCTGTTATCAGTCTGCGGCCTATTTCATGGGAAACTAACCATGGATCCTTTGATCCAAAGAAACTGCTTTGAAAACTGGTCCTGTGTCTACTATATCTAATCCGTTTTTTGTCCCAAGTCCTCTGATGGACTGAAAGGTGGTTGGAGTTGCGTTTTTGGAGTGGTTACAATGGTTGCAGTGGTCACCTGGCCCGTCACCTCACCCACAACTTCTGGATGTAGTGTGGTGTAGTGCAGCTGTAGTTGTAGTTGTAGCGTGGTGGAGTTGTAGTTGCGGTGCAGTGTAATTAGTGTAGTGTAGTTGCAGTTGCATTTGTGGTGGGGTAATGAGTGTAGTGTAGTGTAATGTAATGTAGGGTAGTGTAGTCTAGTGTAGTCTAGTGTAGTGTAGTGTAAAGTAGTGTAAAGTAGCGTAGCTGTAGCTGTAGTTGTAGTTAGTGTAGTGCGGTGTGGCGTGGTGTAGTGTAGCGTAGCGTAGTGTAATGTAATGTAGTGTAGCGCGGCGTAGTGCAGTTGCAGTTGCAGTTGCAGCTGCAGTGTAATGTAGTGTAGTTGAGCGTGGTGTGGTGTAGTGTAGTGTAGTGTAGTGTAGCGGTGGTTGTAGTTGAAACTGCTACAAAACCCTCACGTTTTGCTCACTTTTGACAAGGTGCATAATCCCTTGCACCTGCCACGCAATACCACATCTTAACGTCCAAAGTGCTCGGAGCCCGTCAACTTTTTACACTTTTGACTTCGAAATGTGCTTCGCGCCACAACTGCGTGCACTTTTTCGACTTCTCAACTTCCAAAAGTTTTCCGAGCATGGTGTGCTTTGCACATTTTGACTTGGAAATGTGCTTCGCGCCACAACGGCGTGCACTTTTTCGACATGCCAACTTCCAAAAGTGCGAGACCGTCAGCTTTTAACACTTTAATTTGACTTTGAAATGTGCTTCGCGCCACAACGGCGTGCACTTTTTGGACACCTCAACTTCCAAGAGTGGTCCGACGTTGGTGTGCTTTGTACATTTTGATTTGGAAATGTGCTTCACGCCACAACGACGTGCAATTTTTCATCTCTCATCTGGCCAGGATGGCTCCGCACCCGCCGCTTTAGGCGAGCCTACTTTTCGAGCCTCCGGAGCCACAAATCATTGGAAAAACACAGGGTTTCGCGACTTTCCTACCTTTTCGCGCACCTGGGTCTTCTTTCTTCTGACTCTCTTCTTTGATCCTCTTTCTTCTTCTCTTCTCTTCTCTGACTCTTCCCACCTCTGCTTTTCCATCTGTCCATACTGTCGGAAGTTTGACTTCTAAACTTCCTTCGGTTATTATATATTTTCGTCAGAGAAGAAAATCATTGAAATTAATTGAACCACTCAACTCACTCAACCCACAAAAAAAAATGCCGAGGCACAACACGGTGTTATATGGCTCTACCACGGCAGTGGCCACCTGTGGGCAGCACCACACGGTGAAAGAGATCTTGCTCTTCTTGCCGTAGTCCACAGACCTCTGCAGTTGTTCATGCGAGTTATCGGTTAATATCTACCCAACAAAGGGCGGAAAATTAAATCGATTCTGAAGTGGAATATTTTGATGACAAACTAGAAACGCGTTCAAAAGTAAAAAGATGTTTGCTGTGTTTCTTTTGATGGTGACATCGGCGCGCAAAGGGTCATGCATCATGCGACAAGGATTTGAACAAAAACGATAATGCCTCAAAAAACTATTTTGAATAACTCATCTACCAATATGGGATTTGTTTAAATCAGTTGTTTGTGAGCTGCGAAGGACCCAGCCAGTGGCCACCGGCAAAACCACATGGCATGGGGAAATCCAAGGGACAAGCGCTCCAACATCAAGCAACCCAGGCCGGAACCAGTGCCGCCGCCGCAAGCATTGTAGACACAGAAACCCTGCAATCCTGAAAGACACATGTGCCAAAGGGAAGGTCCCAAAATCTGATTGGAAGCACCGAAAGTTTCCAATCATAATTTGGCTGTTTGACTGACAAAAAAGAGTAAAAACACAGTTTTTTAAACATGCGTTTCGGGCCTGTGCAGTTGTCTGCGAGCTTACGAATCCTGTCCAACACGAGGTCGACAATTTCCTTCCCGATGGTGTAGTGTCCGCGAGCAAAATTGTTTGCTGCATCTTCTTTTCCGGAAATCAGTTGTTCAGGATGGAAAAGCTGGCGGTAAGTGCCCGTTCGCACTTCATCAACCACCTGAGCGCAACACTTCCAAGTTGGCACAAAGAAAATACAATTTGATACAATTTGTAATTTTGAACATAAACTGTGACACTTTACCACGACAAAATTCATCATAATTTCGGAGATTTCTGGACAAAGTCAAGTGTCCGTAGGTTCCAAATCCACCATCACGCATCGAGGTACATGTTTTCCGGCACCAGTCTCAGAAAAGAACCTCGATTTCCCGTCAATCTGTCCAACAAACATGATACAACACAAATGAAAGAACACTTTGAACATGTCGAAACCGAAACCTTCTGCTGAGCCTCCGGTCTCAAACATTCAACAACAAAACAAATATCAAAAGCAACCTTCCCAACAAACGCTAGGGTGCCAACAAATGTTGTGATTTGGAAATGGTCATTCTCTTGGTCCTCTTCTGATTGAAGTTGGCGGTTTCAAAACAACAACTGGCTAACTGTCACCCGGCAATGACTTGCATGCAAGCAACGTGTTGAAGGCGTCATCACCGCCACCAATAGTCTTGTCAGAAGGCATCTGACCATCTGGCTGGATGCCGTGTTCCAAGCAGAACAACTCCCAGCAAGCATTGCCGATCTGCACACCTGGTCCAACGAAACATGAGCGATTGATGCTTGTGCGGTTAAAACAAGATGCACTAATTATACGCAAGTGCAAACTACACCTCTTCTACATAAGTGACATGCCAGACGCGTTCGGGGTTTATGTTGATGTTTTCCTGCCTGTCTTGCGTCGACCACGTTTTATTAATTTGCGCCTGCTTGGCGGTCTCAACATTCCGACGGGACTTGCGAAACTCACACGGCATTTCCCCATTTGCCAGGTAAGGATTTCAGATTTAGGCTCAGCTGTCCATTCTTCCTTCCGTGCATCAGTACTTGCCTAGCATGATTGAAGAAATCAGAGAAAAACCACAAGCCCAGGCAAACAAAACCATGCAACAAGTCCCTGACAGAGGTGCCCGAAATCTCCTGGTGGCAAACATCACACACCCAGTGAAAAGGCCGCTGTTGACCTTGCACGGCCGAAGGGCTTTGGCTGCTAGAGCTAGGCTGAGATCTAAAGCGACCGCTAGTAGAATAATTTCTGCTAATCGCAGTCCCTTGCTGAGACTTAGCAAAGGCCGCGCTGAGCAGCAAGCGGGCGGCAACCCTAGTCCCAGCCTTAGAAGCAGCTTGCTTGGTGCGAGCCGGGGTAGACCGAGGAATCCACGTTTTGTCAGCACTGCTAGGTATCCAGGATTTGCGAGCAGGGCTTGAAACTTGACTCTTGGCTCCACCACGCGGAGCGGCCATTCCGCAACCTTCTTCAGCGTCAGCAACCATTTTGGACAATTTTTCGGGAAGTTTGACACCTGGCTTGGGCTCCAACAGCTCATAGTGACCACCTTCAAAAGCCAAAGTGATTTGAACCGAAGCGTCGGGGTTGCCGGGTTGCCAATAAGAAATGATCTGATCACACTTGCTGGGCTCGTGGATAGCAGCGATGAGTCGAACCCCAAGGCGACGAGCAGCTGCTCTCCAGGCCAGTTCGTCTGCCCGACGTTTTGGCCGAAACAGAGCAGCGATGTAACCTTCAAAGGTACCCGGGCTGTCGCCATCTTCAATTTGCACCGCGTTGTTGCCAAGATCCTCCCCAGGGCTCCAGAATTGACGAGGAAACTTGCGGCTGCACTGTAGTCCAATCTTTTCCTTCGAACTGAAGGGCATATCCAGCGGCGACGCAATTGTAAAAGCAATGACCCTCGCCGCCACACTCACGGAGGGTGTACCAAGCTTCTTCCTCCGGCTTGCCACGAGCTGGGCTTCGGGAACGTTCCCTTTGAGCTGAGGAATTGCCCTGCGCCACTGTTTCTGTTGCTGCTGGTTTTTCAACTGGAGCAGCAGTAGCTGGAGCAATGAGCTTACGAATTTGCTTCACTGGCCGCACCACAGTTTCGACAAGCTGATCCATTTTGCGGACCGGTTGGGCTCTCTCTAAGTGCAGCGAGGACAAGCCAACTTCAACCAGAAGGACCGACTCGCGGATGCGCTCGGCCTTTTGCAGTCGCACCAGCTATGGTTTTCTTGTGTGCCCTTTGCTATAATGATTTCCACATTTGTGAATCCGGCTCCTGTGATGGCAGCTTTCAGATCTTCCTCATACCATTGAACTGGTACTCCACGGACTCGCCAACTGCCGGAGTCCGGCATGCTTTGGTCATGCTGACGGATGCCCAAACCTTTGGCGCCTCCTTTGCGAAAGGCGAGAGGCTGACTGATGGCCTTGACCTGGACTTGCTTCAAGTAAGCCAACCCTTCAGCATTGTCAGGGTTGTGCCATACCACCCGAGCGGAGTCTTGGCTACGGTAGCTGGCCAGCTCATCCAAGAAGATTCCTGCAGCGCCACTCTTCTTCAAGACTTCAACATATTTGGAATGCTCGATTTTTGCGTACTCTTGGAGCACAGTTTCCTGCTTGAGCTCCTGAAGCTTCCGCTGTTGACTGGAGTGCCAAGGAACATCAACATGCTTACACAAAAAACAAAAAGGATCTTGTGTAACTTCACGCCAGCCTTTAGGCTCAACAAAAATCTTCGGGATGGACACACGAAGGATCTGCAGTTGGCGGTCAGGAGCTTTAAAAGTGGATTTCAGAGTGCCCTGCTGTTCAGGCGACCCAGAAGCCGTGAGTGCTGTGACATGCCAAGTGGCAACAGCCTTTTGGCCTGTGCTGCTGACAGAGGCAAATTTCATCGGTTTGCACGCAAGCTTGTCTGTAGGCCCTTGAAACACCACCCCCACTTTGGCTTTGCAGTCATAAACACGAGCAAGGTCCAACAGGCGTTGAGCTTCCTTGGCATCCTGAACCTGGATCCACTGAGCACTGATGGGAACATCATTTTGGAGCTGCTGACGAGCTAAGGCAGCACTAGCAAAATTTTGCTCAAAGGGCACACGAATGCCCAAGGCTTTTGCCCCACCCTTGCGGAAGGCAAGGGGTTTTCCGTTTGCCTTGGCTTGAACATGTTTCAAGTATGCAAGACCTTCGGCTTTGTCAGGGCTGTGTCAAACAACCAAAGTGGAATTCGAAGATCTGTGGCTAGCAAGTTCATCCAAGAAGATGCCAGCGGTTCCACTCTTTGTCAGGCTTCCGCGTACTTGGACTCTTCAAATTTGCATACCCTTGAAGCACGGTTTCCTGGTTGAGTTCCTGGGTTTTCCACTGCTGACTGGAGTGCCAAGAGATGTCAACGTGCTTGCACAAGTACTGCTGCGGGTTAATCGCAACTTCGCGCCAACTCGAAGGCTCAACAAATGCCTTGGGTATGGAAACCCGAAGCATGCGCAGTTTGCGCTGAGGAGCTTGGAAAGTGGATTTCAAAATGAATGCTTCCTGTGGCTCGGGTGGGCCAACTCCAGCAAGGGCAACAACATTCCAGGACACGATGGCCTTTTGGCCTTTCTTGTTCACTGAAGGAAATTGTTTCCGGTTGCTTTTGAGTTTGTCATCACATCCTTGGAACACCACCCCAACTTTAGCTTTGCAATCATGGACACGGGCAATATCAAGCAGTCGCGTGGCTTCGCGGGCATCCTTGGCTTGGATCCATTGAGCATTCATGGGTTCATCGTCCTGGAGCTTTCGCTGTGCTTCAGCGACGCTGATGACATTTTCTCTGGCCATGTCCAATCGCCATGGCCCTGGTTCATGTTTGGCCACGCTACCCTTTCTCGCAACTTCAACCCAGCTATTCTGCTCTTTGTGGCCCTGATGACCAGGGTCGACAAAAGTGCCCGTGTCAATGTGGCCTTTGTCAAAGGTCGTGCCCTTTTTTGCTTTTGCTTTGGCCTTTCTGTCAGCTCTGGTGGGCCTAAGGTTTTTACCAGCAGTCGCTTGAGTAACAAGGGAGCCATGTCGCTGAATCAAACCTGCAGGGTCTTGATCTGCTCTGGCCACAATGCGCTTCAAAGCTTCAAGTAAATCATTGCCGGCCGGGGCGACTTTTCGTGTCGGAGCCTTGCCCTTCCCTTTCTGAGACACTGCATTGGGATCAGGTCCTTTGCTCTTGCCATATCCTTTGCCCTTGCTTTTGCCGAATCCTGAACTAGGATCAAGCTTAGTGCCCTTGCTTTTCTGAGGAGCTGAAGTTTGGTTTGGCCCCTTGCCCTTGCCTTTCTGAAGGCCAGTGTCGGCGTCAGTTCCTTTTCCTTTTTGTTGAGTTGGAGCTGAGTAAGCGGCAAGCAGTTCACGCAATCCTTGCAACAAATCGGCTTCGGACTTTGCAGGCTTTGCCCCTCCACGACAGAAAGCTCTCCATGGAACCCACCCATCATTTGTCCAAATCATTTTCTCGGCATTCCCTTCGTCACAAAAGAAAGCATTTCCAGGCATGGTTTCGGGTTTGGACCCGAGCCAGGCGAAGCACCCATGAAAGTGGCCAAAAACATTCCCCAAACCCCATCTGATTGGGTTTCTTTTGCGCAGTCCGTAACTGCAACTCAAATTTGAAAATCTGACGGTCCCTCTTCTGGCAGCAGAAAAACGTCGGCCAGAGATAAGTCTTGCCGGCAAAATCACATCCCATTTTTTCCAGCGAAACCATCGCGGGAAATATAAGACCAAATCAAAACTGGGCCAAGCAAAACCATGGCGAGCTGAATCAATACGTTTGTGACACACAGCTCGCAATTGTCACAGTCACTGACTTCACTGCATGCATTGAAAAACACAAGTGCAACTGACATCAATGACAGCAACATACTGGCACCAAAAGCCAAGGCCTTTTGTGCTTGGTCACGTGCAACTTTACTGCAGTTCCGGAGCCACCACGAGGAGGTGCACACACGGCTCCCCAAGTCCACAATTTCTTTGCCAATGGTGTAGTGACCTCGTGCAAAGTTGTTTGCCGCGTCTTCTTTTCCTGTTGGATCCTTTGCAGATGTAGGGCCCGCGGACCCCGGCACCTGGACGTTGGCAATCAATCATGTGTTCGACGCCCTCGGCTCGAGGGCGCAAAAGTCCATACCTTTGCACGCACCGCTGCCATGTGTGACAGGACAGCATCATTGTAATCGGGATCAGCATCTGACGGCGGCTAGGCTAACCTCAATTGGATTGCATCAGCAGGCTCTGGAGGCCTTCCAGCAGCAAAACAGGGACATTTCCATGTCAAGTGATACCAGTCAGGGAACACCAAGCAGTCCCTACACATGCCACATCCAGCCGTGGCAATGTGCTCATACATTTTCTGATAGCAAGACGGTGAGTTGGCGGCCCCCGTGAGTACTGCCCTTCCATGCTTTGAAGTATGACCGAAAAGACGTCGAGCTGCCCTATACCTTGCCGGGGTATAGGGTTCCAAGGCAAATTGGCGACTATCTCGCCGATTTTGTGCACAAAAATTGTCCCAGCAAAAACGCCTCCAGGACTCACGGAGCTTGTGGTCACAGTCGCTCTTGTCATCTTGAAGGAGTTGCAAAATCCCTTCATGAGTATGCTGCCACTGCCAGGGAGCAACCAGGCTTCCAAACAAATTCAGTCCATCCATCTGGTCCAGTCCACTGAGTGTGGGCACCAGACACAACTTGCGCCCAGCTCTTACTATCAGGCTTAGCATGCTTCCCTCCTCCATCTTGGTTCTTCACATTTTTCCATGAACCGTAAAAAGTTTGGCGTTTACCTGTGTCAACTGATTTTTTTCGGCCTGGTTCACTGTATGCGTGCTGGGACCTAGTGGCTTGTGTAACCAACGACTTCAGCTGCTGCAACAGACATCCTTTCTTGTGCTGGTGAATCAAATTTTTGAGATCCGCCAGCAACTTGGCTTCCCCTCCTATTTCAGCTTGTGTGTGGCTCGGCGTTTCATCAACAGTCTTCAACAACTCTCTAAGGCCTTCAAGGAGGCGGTTTTCAGTTGCGGAACAAGTTGCATTTTTCCCTCCCCCTCTCATAAGTGGTTCAGTCGGAACATCCTTCGTTCTATCTTGCTCATGCTGACTGCCAACTGTGAAGTGAAAACGACACTTGGCAGGCAAAAGGCAATACATACAAGACAGAGGTTGACACAGATATGCAAAAATCTTTCTCCTGGGACTGTGCATGTTCTCTTGCACAGGCTGAGTGCACACCGTATCGTGAAAACGAAACATGGCAGGTGCACAACAAGAATCACAAGACAGAAACTGTCGCGCAGATGCAAATCTCTCTCTCCTAGACCTGTGAAATTGACGCTTCCACCACCGTGTGACAGCAAATCTTCGTTTGCAAATCCATAGTGCTGGCAAAGCAAATCTAGCTGAGGTGCGAACATGCCTTTTTGGGGCCAAGTACCAAGTTGCAGCCACCATGAAGAGAAGTAACCCAAGCGTAGCCCCGGCTTCGCTCGAAGACTTCTCCACGATCCCATGGAACACTTTGCACCAAGGAGCGCATAGTAGAAGCATGCAGACCAAGGCCCAATACAGCCACGCGGAGGCGTGTTCATAGTATCGAACATGTTTGCCCGTGTGTGTAGCTTTGCGATGACGCATCACCTCAGGAGCCCAAAGGACGCCATGGATGACCACGCCACACCACAGCCTGCCGAAGCAGGCATTCACGCTCAAGAGAGTCTCTCCATCACCTGCTCCCGCACCGCAGCCATGTGGTGCAAGAGCTTTTCCGCACTGCGCTTCGAATAGGACCTTGGTGGCCAAGCCATGCGACAGGCCATGGACGACTGTGGCATACTGGCTGGACGAGAACCTGCAAAAGCAGGACAATGCCAAACAAGGTGATCCCAATCGGCTGCCTCCCTGTTGGTTACACCAGCTGCAATGAAAAGGCACTGGTTCCTTCCGTATCCGACAATAAACTGCCGAGGATAAAGCTGCCCCTACCAGAACTGCTCTGCCATGGTTGCCAGAGCTTTCATAAAGACATCTTGCCACTTTGCATGACATGTGATCATACCCCACCTGTTGTCGCAGCAAATTGCTATCCCTTCGCTTCTGAGAGAGAAATTCAGCAAAAAGGGAACAGCGCCATGACTCCCGCACTTTATGCAGCACGGCCGCACCATCATGCAAAATGTTACACTGACCTTCCTGTGGATGCTGCAAGATCCAGTTTCTCTGTGGCGTCCATCCATATTCACTCAAACCACGGACAAGAGCATGCTGCCAGCCTGCTGGTGATGGTGAGTTCCTCCACCTCAAGCGTCTGAACTTGTGCGCACGCTGCGCAGCTTGAACAGACTGATGCAGAGACAAAAAAGAAGAGTCGGCATGGTGACCTTCCAAAATTGTGCGAAGTGGTTTGCTGCCCATAGGATGTCCTCGGGACAAACTTCTATACAATTGACTGACCTGCTTGACCACACGGGCCGGCAAAGGCCTCAACCAAGCTCCCCAAGTAACCAGAGGCATCACACGAGATCTGTACAAAGCCCTCCTCACTTCTCTTCCAATTGGACAAAAAGCCAGTCGGTTCAAAATTGCAAGCCCCTCCTCGCATCTTTTCAAAATAGTATCTGATTCATGCCACCAGGTTGGAACAACGTCAAGCCCAAGAACCCGAATTTGCTCTTTGATGCATTTCGGATCAACGCCTGCTCTTTCCAGTGATCGTCTTTGCTGAAAACTTTTCTGATTTAGGTTGCCTTTTGGCAACTTCATCATCAACAAGTTTCTTCAGAGCAGGTAGGAGGTCCATGGAAGGATCCGTCTGTGCTCTGCTGACTAGCGACTGCAGCTTCTGAACCAAACTCTTGGGGGCACCTGGAGGACTGGGATCAGGCTTCTTTGAAACGGCTTTTGCCAAAAGGGCCTGGATACCAGCCAGGAGATCCACTTCAGCTTCACGCTCTTGTCTCTTCCGCTTCGTGGCTGAGGAGCCACCAGCACCTCCTCTGAGGCCGCTGAGAACTTTTGCAAACACAGGCTGGCAGTTCAAACACTGGCTTACATGTCTGTGCTTCGTTTTCCGCTTTTTTCTCTTTCTGTTTGGCAGGTTGATGGCCAAGAAACCGACCGACTGCCAAAAACGAAAAAATCTCTGGTCCACCACACCAATTTTCAACAAGTGCTGCAATCGACGTGACATGCCGCACCTTTTTCTGCCACAGAACCTGGCTGGCAAGGCCAGGTTGCCCAACCTGAAAGCTTTCCTCTTTTCACGCGGACACGCACCAAGGGGGTGCTGAGCATCACCAGGGATAGCTTGCTAAACCATGAGATGAAGAGTGATCAAAAAAAACGAAAAAGTTAAATGAGAACCTTTGCCAATGGAAAGGCCTGCCAAACAAGTATAAACAAGTGACAATGAGGAGTATAAGTGTACCTCACAACGGTCCGCAGTACCACACGCTGTCCCGTTTTATTCTTGTTTGCCAATAAAGACTTTCCCAAACAGAGATGTAGATTTTGGGAAGCCTTTCTACTCAGTAGCATTGGTTATGTTCTTGTCTTTACTATTGGCGTTTTCACTGGAGGCAAAGGAGACTGCTCACGGGAGTTGACTCCACTGGCTTGGAACGGATTCAGGTTTGAACGGATATTGGCATGCAGGTCTGACATGTAAACATATTTGGACTTGCAACTTGCAAGATGCACATTTTCACTTTAAGATATACTTGAGTCAATGACTTAAATACAACATGAACCAATTTTCTACAATTGAAAAACACAAGTAAGGCGCATCACAAACAAAATTTTTGTGCGGAAATAGTATGAAATATCTTCTCTCGCCCTCCAGATCTGATCAAGAGTCATCCATGTTCACACCTTCACAACCGGAAGAACCCAAACTGGTCCCCCAATACCAAGCTAAATTCACATCTTAAGCACCTCCTTGGCCAATGTGAATGCAGATTGCCTCACGCATGGCTTCGAGAAAGCTGCGGAAAAGTGACGGAAGCACACCGTGTGATGTGGGAGCCTCAGGCACAAATCCTTGAGCGAAAACGGCCGTCAGAACGGCGTGGTGAAGTTGATGCATGTGCAACGTGACGACATGCACCCAAGCTGTAAGAAAAAATTAAAGCAGTTTCAGTTACAGTTACCCCAGATCGGAACCACTGCATGATTTGTTCCGAGCGCTGATTTTTTTCACAAAATCTGTGGGGTCAAGTTTCAAACATGTTGAAAAGATATGATCAGATCATCAGATCCCCCCCACGCTGCCCTGCCCTACAGATTGCAAAACAGTTGAAGACAAAACACCAGGTTTGACATGTCATGAATTCAATTTTGACACAATATCACCACCGCAACAATCACCCGAGTCGCTGCACAACTGCCTTTTTCGGTTCCCCCCAACAATCCCATCACCAGCTGCTGCAGCTGCTGGCTGAATTTGTAAGCCAACTAGCCAGCATTGGTCAGTCGACGACTTAGAACTCGTCACCGTATCCTTCCTCTTCGCCTGCAATGTGTGCAGGATCAGCCAATAGACAAAGTTGGAAAATGGTACATGCCACACAAACAACAAGTCCCGTAAAGTCGGGCAAACCCGTGGCGGTGACATTGAGAAAAAAAACACATCGATGGGCGAAAGTCCTTCGCCCTCGGCAGTTTCGATGCCCACCTGCAATAGAGCGGCCAGGCAGGACGCATCTTCTAAACCGAAGATTGTATGTATAAGTATAAGCGAACCATCTCAATAAGTCACCAGCCCGGCTTCTCGTAGATTCACATCCTGCTTTTGCATATCAGAATACAAACAAACAGCTCAGTATATGGATGTACTATATAATCATATGAATCATATGGGATGGTCACCTAACCTTGTTGTTAAAGGAGAAGGGATCAGGGATGATATACTTGTTGGTTGTTCAGCAACCCTGCCCCCAAACAAAAACAGTCGGAACACGCGATGAAAACACCTCACTTGACAAAAAAAGTGCAACAAATGAGCGGATCAGGCGAAGATCCATGTTTCGAACCATGTGTCCGCATTTCCCCGTCTGCGATCCACCATTACAATACCATGCATGTGGCTAACATTATGATCTGATTCTTTCTCTCCAATATGGCAATCGCACCACTTTCTAATGGTCTCTAATGTTTCTGTTTCTTCCACTCTGGTCCACCACATCACTATGATGTGTGTCACCATTATGTCATTATGTAAAGTTCTGCCCACCCACCATTACAATATTACGCGTGCGCAACAATTCTCTACATACATGTCCCGCTTCTGGTCCAAAATTACAAAGTGGTCAACCGATCCCAAGACAAAACGCTGACTGCATTTAAATCTGGCTATTATCTACCAATTCCTGCACTAGTAAAAAAATGTAACAAGTGTTTATCTTCAACATCTCAGGTATCTTGGCAGTCTCACTCTTTTTGCGGCAAATTGTGGGATCAAATCGTCAAGCTGTGGCCTCTTCGTAGTCCTTCTCCAAAGCAGCAAGATCTTCCCGAGCTTCAGAGAACTCACCCTCTTCCATGCCCTCGCCCACGTAGTGGTGCACGAAAGCCCTCTTTGAATACCTGGTGTTATAACTATTTGATCTCTGACAATGGAACTGGTGTGTGTAGGTTGAATACCTGGTGTGTATGTCCCAATGATTTGAATACCTGGCGTGATGAATGTAATGATTTGATAAGGGACACCGCTGAGTCGTGCCTGAACCCACCCGTCGCCTCAAGTGAATGAACCCTTCGCAGTCGTTTTCCATCACTGCGTTCAACACAGATACTTGCAATCTTCGCGTGAGTTTCAAGTTGAGTCGTGCAAAGGCAAGACATAGAAACATGTCCAATGTTTCCACTTGATTGACATCTCTGGTTTTGCATATTTTCAAAAACCTATGCTTCTCCTGGTTTCGAACGGTTCACTCTACAGGTTCCTTCGCACCCTGCAGCGACTTGTTGAAACCACTGAAAGACTGACCAAAACAGGTCTCGTGGCGAGGACGACATACGAAGCCGTGCACCAAGGGTGTTATGGTTATCGCAGGCCCACATCAAAGGTCATGTCACGTGTCTAAACGTTGTTCAGATTTAGCGGTGCTGGAGGTGGGCATGGGGGAGGCACTGAAAGAGCCCAATGCGACCAGTTTTTGCTGTTTTTCTCTTCGTGTTATTCTTCTTCTTCTCCTCTTTCTTCTTCTTCTTCTTCTTCTTCTTCGTCTTCTTCTTCGTCTTCTCTTCTTCTTCTTCGTCTTCTTCGTCTTCTTCTTCTTCTTCTTCTTCTTCTTCTTCTTGTTTGTCTTCTTCGTCTTGTTCTTGTTCTTGTTATTGTTCTTCCTGTTCTTGTTGCTGCTGTTGCAGCAGGCAGCAAGCTTCAAGCAGAGAAACGCAAGAAGCAATAGAAGCAAGAAAAGCACAAAGCAGGAAAAACACTACAGCTACAGTAGAATTCTAGAAGCGACAGAAACGGAAAAGCCACAAAGCAAAAGAGAAGAGCACGGAAGCAGCCAGGCATAAATCAGGAAACATTACAAAAAGAAAAAGATGCTGTTCTTTATTCCAACAGCGTATGAGGGCGCTGCTACAATCAAGCCAGTCCAAAAGGACGGGGCGTTGACTCTATTACAAGTGTTACATGAGACAAGATACAAACAATGAAATTCCACGGTCCCGAATATGTTTCCGGATTGCACTTGTGTTGTTTGCAAATTTCTGGAAAGTCTGGATTGGACCTCTAGGGAATCGAACCGCTGACCTCATGAAGTTAAACCATCAAACCATATCAAAAACTACATGTTCCCCAACGGACCCCATGAAACTGACTCAAAGTGGGGAACCCCACTCTTTCGTGGCGACCATACAGCTAGATAAGGCAGAGCAAATGTTCATGTTTGTTGGAATACCCCTCCAAGGAAAACCAAAACTTTGAGGGTGAGTCTTGAGACTGGGACCGCAACGCGCGAACACACCCAAGTCCAACATCTTCTAAAACCATGTTGCATCAGGTCGAACTTGTGGTCAATGCGCGAGAAAACCTCCGCAATAGCCGTGGAGTTCGAGATCATGCAGCAGGCGCGCATGACTTTGGCCAGGTCACCCCCTGGTACCACAGTGGGCGGCTGATAATTGATGCCGCACTTGAAGCCAGTGGGGCACCAATCCACGAACTGAATGGTACCTGCACGTGTGCAGAAACCATCATGAACATAAAAAGTACACCAGCGTCCCTGAGACTATTTTTGTATGACACTCCGCCACGTCAAGTGGTTTGGCTCTCGTGCGCCTCATTTCTTGGAATCTACTGTATGTACATATATTGATGCAACCATATATGTGTTCATATTATCAATTATACATATCTATAGAATATATATATATAGACGTTTAAATACGTTTACTAAACATGTGTATATATACATATACATTTATATACGTATACTTAGAATATCTAGTGAGAATATATATATCTATATACATATATATATATACACATATATAAATAGTAGTAGTAGTAGTAGTAGTAGTAGTGTAGTAGTAGTAGTAGTAGTAGTAGTAGTAGTAGTAGTAGTAGTAGCAGCAGCAGCAGCAGGTAGGTAAGGTAGGTAGGTAGGTAGGTAGGTAGGTAGTTAGTTACTTAGTGAGTGACTGAGTGAGTGAGTGAGCGTTAGTGTTAGTTAGTTAGTTAGTTAGTTAGTTAGTAGTTAGTTAGTTAGTTAGTTAGTTTAGTAGGTAGTTAGTAAGTAAGTTAGCGGAGTAGTAGTAGTAGTAGTCGTAGTAGTAGTCGTCGTCGTCGTCGTGGTCGTCGTCGTGGTCGTGGTCGTGGTCGTGGTCGTGGTGGTGGTGGTGGTGGTGGTGGTGGTGGTGGTCGTCGTCGTCGTAGTAGTAGTAGTAGTGAACATCCCACGGCAAATTTTAGGGGCTGTCTCCTAGTCCTCGAAAGTTTGCTGCTTAGGCTTCTCCACAAAACCTTCGTTCACATCATTTTGTTGCCCCACGAAACAAAATGAATAGCTATGAAAGGAGAGCTGTATCAATTAATATCACCTGTATTTGGCCACAACATGTCAACCTCATCAGAATACACCCCAATAAAGAATCAGAGGGTTTCTCTGGTATCGCGATAAAACAGCTCAATGTGTTGACAAAAAAGACACGCGTCTGAATTTGGAAGTGCCTGGCCCTGATCAACTGCAAAATAAATTCAAGAAGTGACCCGAGGATAGGGGGATGTTGCTCCCCCGTCTTCAAAATGTCCATGGTACGCTTTGTCTTGATGGTGGCCACAGCCGCATTCACATCCTTGGGCACCACGTCTCCTGACGGTCAGCTTGATGCGCAACTGGCAACAAGAAGTGGGACTCCAAAGAACCAAGTTACTATCCACACACAACATGTTTCTCTTCCCTTGGACATGAGATGACATATGATTATTTCAATGATACAAATATGATATATCATATCTCTGATATACGACTCTAAAGCAGATGTAGTCATATAAAATCATACAAAATCCCTGGACATGTTGGGCTGGTTACAAACAAATGACTTACCTTCCGAGGTCAAAGTTCAGCACATGCCAGCCTGCTACGAGTATCGCTTGCCGAGTGTCCGCGGTACATCATGCAGCAGGCCATGTACTTGCCATGACGAGGATCGCACTTCACCATCATGGAAGCGGGCTCGAAGACAGACATGGTGATCTCTGCCACAGACAGCTGCTCATGGTACGCCTTCTCTGCAGAAATCACTGGGGCGTAGGATGTGAGCATGAAGTGGATTCCTGAGCAGTTGGACGCCAAAACTTTGTTGACTCAAATCTTTCGGCTCAGCACACTTAATTCAGGAGTCTTAGAGTGTAAGTATATATATATTGATATTAGATATTATATAAATAAATCAATGAATAAATAAATAAATAATAGGAAAAATAATAATAATAAATAAGATATAACAAATAAAAATAAATAGATAAACAACCCGGCGGAATTTTTACCGTCCGCATAATTAGCACAAATTCATGGTTTCACCATAGCGAAACGTCAATTTTGATGCAAAAATAGGGGTCTCCGAACTTGAGGGTTTAACTTTTTCATCGACAAGCCTCTCAGCGTTTTTTTCTTCAAGAGGCCCGAAGTCGAATCAAGACAGTTGCTTGATGTACGCCGCAGTTGTCTTCAACAACTCGCGTGGGTTTTCCCAGCGCCATTGGAACGATCTGACATAGCGAAATATTTTGCGATCTGACATATCGAAGGAGCCTTTTGTGGAGGGGATATTGTTTGGGACCGAATCCTTACACAATTTCCACCAGTTGTCTATTCCACCGGTGTGTGCCCAAACACTATTCCGGCATCCTACTTTCTTTTTCACGCACGTATGTGTGGAAGTTGCAGAAGAACGGGCAGTGGCGTAGCATCACGTACTTGTGGAAGTGCCAATGAACGTTAACATCCCACCCCACCCCATCAAAATCTATGCGTTTTGCTGGACGGTAAAAATTCCGTCAGCATAAACCCGGCGGAATCAGCATAAACAAGTACAGTAAGTAAATCAATAAACAAAACACTTGAGCAAAATCAGCCAAGGATTCGAGGATAAGGGACTAAATTTGTCTGGAACTCGGTGATATCCACGTTGAGCGCACCATCGAAACGCAGGGAGGCTGTCCTGTGCTGATTCAAGTTTGAAATCTGTTTGCAGCCATGAATTTCAGCGCGTTGGGCAGGGGAATGAACCATAATAATGTGTGGTGAACACACAAATAAAGCACTATCAACTTTACCAAACATGTGTGTGCTTTGAACCATCCCAATTGGAGGTTCACTATTGACTTGGGCTTTTCCAACTCAATACATACGCGACTAGAACCGTGAAAGGGATATCCGACATCTCGATGTTGATATGTCCTGAAATTTGTGATCATCATATTCATGATATATCATCCATAATTTCGACTTCCGAATAATCTGGCGTCCCGGTGTCTAGCAGTTTTCTTGCGGCTTCATCATGCATCATCTGCGATACTTCCCATTCAAAATCCAAGTGTCAGAGAGGAGATGATCTGGGCGATCAGTCGGTTCAGGTTGGTGTAGGTCGGACGTTCGATGTCCAGGTTCCTGCGGCAGATGTCGTAAAGCGCCTCGTTGTCCTGAGAGCTGCGCCGGTCAAAACAAAGGGGAGGTCACAGGAGCAGCTGTAACAAAACGTGGCAAAAGACCATAGGGTAACGGCCTGGAATATGTGTTGTCTTTGTTTCAGATTGAGAAACGCTGTTGCCTTCTCAAACAACAAAAGCAGAACTGCCAACACCAACAATCATCACATCAACATACATCAACGAAGCATGGAGAGATACATGTTTTATCCCGCAACACTGAGGAGAAAATGGGGAGATATCCACAGGCAAGTTGCATACATGATGGTCACATCGGTGTGCTCCAGCAGGGAGTGAACGCACCTGTTTCAGGGTTCCACTGGGATGTTTGCAGAACTTGGTATGCGATCAACAAACCGGAAAATTATTGTATATTTATTTATGCATATTATTGCAACAATACTAGTTGGATCGCAAGTAAAACGTAGTAGAACGACACCAATTGCTGAGATCAGGAAAATTGGAACGTCTTGCACAGGCCTCTGCTGGTTTTGACTGCCGATACAAACACACTTATCTCATATACATATTGCGATCATGTCATATGACGCACCCAGCAACCCCAATAGATTCGCCCCAAATTGCCCCCGTGCAACTCGCAGGATCGAATGTGGAATTTGAGTTGGATCTATCTTTCGTTTCGTCATTTTATTCAGCTTTCAAGGATGTTCAAGGTATCCTCTGTCACATCACAAAAATGCATATTTCCTCATTGCGCTTGATGCTCCATGTCTGACTCACGTCACCTATACATCTGAACTTGAATTGAACCACTCAACTCACTCAACCCGCAAACAAATGTCTGCCGAGGCACAACACGGTGTTATATGGCTCCACCACGGCAGTGGCCACCTGTGGGCAGCACCACACAGTGAAAGAGATCTTGCTCTTCTTGCCGTAGTCCACAGACCTCTGGCAATGGAATGCTTGGATGTTGGATCCTTGGGAGAGCTGAAATATAGTTGGTTCTTGTTGGTTCTTGGTAAATTCCCGCTATGGATATTATCATAATCACATCTAATAACCCCCTTTTTAGCCCTATTTCAAAACTAACCAGGGTCAATTAGTCACTGGGCAAATCCAAGAGACAAACGCTCCAACATCAAGCAACCCAGGCCGGAACCAGTGCCGCCGCCGCACGCGTTGTAGACACAGAAACCCTGCAATCCTGAAAGACGCGTATGCCAAAGTGAAGGTCCCAAAATCTGATTGGAAGCAGCGCAAGTTTCCAGTCATAATTTGCTGTTTGACTGACAATAGAGTAAAAACACAGTGTTTAAAAATGCGTTTCGGGCCTGTGCAGTTGTCTGCGAGCTTACGAATCCTGTCCAACACGAGGTCGACAATTTCCTTCCCGATGGTGTAGTGGCCGCGAGCAAAATTGTTTGCTGCGTCTTCTTTTCCGGAAATCAATTGTTCAGGATGGAAAAGCTGGCGATAAGTGCCCGTTCGCACTTCATCAACCACCTGAGCGCAACACATGCACCAATGGCCGCTATTCATCAACACTTCCAAGTTGGCACAAAGAAAATGCAATTTGATACAATTTGTAATTTTGAACATCAACAGTGACAATTTACCACAATAAAATTCATCACAATTTTGAAAAAATTCGGTACAGTCAAGTGTCCGTAGGCTCCAAATCCACCATCACGCAGCGAGGCACGTGTTTTCCGGCACCTGTCTCAGAGAAGAACCTTGGTTTCCCGTCAACCCATTCGACAAACGTGATACAAAGCGCGCACGAAAGAAACCGCAAAACAACATATATATTCAACATGTCAAAACCAAAAGGGTGCTTTTTGCAAAGTTGCTAGTGGCAATCACACGCCACAAGAGACAACGCATTGTGTCATACATTGGCAACACACTTTGGGATGTGGAGTTGGTTATCAGTGTGGCGACTTCAACTCCGTGCTCATTACAAAAGAACTGGCCACTCGGCCAACTTTTGTCCCATTGCATGCGAGCAACGTGTTGAAAGCATCATCACCGCCGCCGATAGTCTTGTCAGAAGGCATCTGACCATCTGGTTGGATGCCATGTTCCAAGCAGAACAACTCCCAGCACGCGTTGCCGATCTGAACACCTGGCTCACCAAAACATGAAACCCTTTCCCACATGATGTGCGAAACATGCGCACATGCAACATATGCCTATGTAAGTGACATGTCAGACGCGTTGGGGAGCAATGTTGATGTTTTCCGCTCACGATTGTCGAGATGCGCATGATGTTGTTTCCTGCCTCTCTTGTGTCGACCAGCTCATTTTCTCAAACGACTAACACGCAAACACTTGAAACACAAAAGGAAACAGAACAGCACACTCGCAAAAGTAAAGCGACGGAGAGAAAAACAACGAGAAACAAAAGCTGGAAAAAGAAAAGTAAATGCCAAAAAGGAAACAAAAGGACGAGAGGGTCCCATATCATATACACAAGTTTTTGCAAAGCACAGTAGAGAGCGTCATCCTTGCCCTCCCGTTCCTGGTCAGCTGTGTCAGCCTCCGCCGACAAACCTTCCAAGCCAGCCAAAAAGCCTATCTGCTTTGCTAGAACCGTGTCTCCCAAAGCAGTGCCGGCGTACGAAACGCCGTGGTCGCTGTCAAGGCCCCGCCGACGGACGCCCACGAAGTCGGCTACCAAGGCGAGGACTGCGAAGGGAAGGACCATTCTGCGCACTTCTATTGGGAGGAAAGTAGCTGGTGCCTTGTGAGCTTCAAGCTTGCGTTTGTGGTGTGTCTTGTTCCGTCTCCGTGCGTCTCTCTCTCTCTCTCTCTCCGTCTCCCTCTCTTCCTCTCTTCCTCTCTGTCCCCTCTCTCTCTCTCTCTCTCTCTGTCCCCCCTCTCTCTCTCTCTCTCTCTCTCCCCTCTGCTAGCTTGCTAAACCATGAGATGAAGAGTGATCAAAAAAAACGAAAAAGTTAAATGAGAACCTTTGCCAATGGAAAGGCCTGCCAAACAAGTATAAACAAGTGACAATGAGGAGTATAAGTGTACCTCACAACGGTCCGCAGTACCACACACTGTCCCGTTTTATTCTTGTTTGCCAATAAAGACTTTCCCAAACAGGGATGTAGATTTTGGGAAGCCTTTCTACTCTGTAGCATTGGTTATGTTCTTGTCTTTACTATTGGCGTTTTCACTGGAGGCAAAGGAGACTGCTCACGGGAGTTGACTCCACTGGCTTGGAACGGATTCAGGTTTGAACGGATATTGGCATGCAGGTCTGACATGTAAACATATTTGGACTTGCAACTTGCAAGATGCACATTTTCACTTTAAGATATGCTTGAGTCAATGACTTAAATACAACATGAACCAATTTTCTACAATTGAAAAACACAAGTAAGGTGCATCACAAACAAAATTTGTGTGCGGAAATAGTATGAAATATCTTCTCTCGCCCTCCAGATCTGATCAAGAGTCATCCATGTTCACACCTTCACAACCGGAAGAACCCAAACTGGTCCCCCAATACCAAGCTAAATTCACATCTTAAGCACCTCCTTGGCCAATGTGAATGCAGATTGCCTCACGCATGGCTTCGAGAAAGCTGCGGAAAAGTGACGGAAGCACACCGTGTGATGTGGGAGCCTCAGGCACAAATCCTTGAGCGAAAACGGCCGTCAGAACGGCGTGGTGAAGTTGATGCATGTGCAACGTGACGACATGCACCCAAGCTGTAAGAAAAAATTAAAGCAGTTTCAGTTACAGTTACCCCAGATCGGAACCACTGCATGATTTGTTCCGAGCGCTGATTTTTTTCACAAAATCTGTGGGGTCAAGTTTCAAACATGTTGAAAAGATATGATCAGATCATCAGATCCCCCCCACGCTGCCCTGCCCTACAGATTGCAAAACAGTTGAAGACAAAACACCAGGTTTGACATGTCATGAATTCAAATTTGACACAATATCACCACCGCAACAATCACCCGAGTCGCTGCACAACTGCCTTTTTCGGTTCCCCCCAACAATCCCATCACCAGCTGCTGGCTGAATTTGTAAGCCAACTAGCCGGCATTGGTCAGTCGACGACTTAGAACTCGTCACCGTATCCTTCCTCTTCGCCTGCAATGTGTGCAGGATCAGCCAATAGACAAAGTTGGAAAATGGTAAAACATGCCACACAAACAACAAGTCCCGTAAAGTCGGGCAAACCTGTGGCGGTGACATTGAGAAAAAAAAACACATCGATGGGCGAAAGTCCTTCGCCCTCGGCAGTTTCGATGCCCACCTGCAATAGAGCGGCCAGGCAGGACGCATCTTCTAAACCGAAGATTGTATGTATAAGTATAAGCGAACCATCTCAATAAGTCACCAGCCCGGCTTCTCGTAGATTCATATCCTGCTTTTGCATATCAGAATACAAACAAACAGCTCAGTATATGGATGTACTATATAATCATATGAATCATATGGGATGGTCACCTAACCTTGTTGTTAAAGGAGAAGGGATCAGGGATGATATACTTGTTGGTTGTTCAGCAACCCTGCCCCCAAACAAAAACAGTCGGAACACGCGATGAAAACACCTCACTTGACAAAAAAAGTGCAACAAATGAGCGGATCAGGCGAAGATCCATGTTTCGAACCATGTGTCCGCATTTCCCCGTCTGCGATCCACCATTACAATACCATGCATGTGGCTAACATTATGATCTGATTCTTTCTCTCCAATATGGCAATCGCACCACTTTCTAATGGTCTCTAATGTTTCTGTTTCTTCCACTCTGGTCCACCACATCACTATGATGTGTGTCACCATTATGTCATTATGTAAAGTTCTGCCCACCCACCATTACAATATTACGCGTGCGCAACAATTCTCTACATACATGTCCCGCTTCTGGTCCAAAATTACAAAGTGGTCAACCGATCCCAAGACAAAACGCTGACTGCATTTAAATCTGGCTATTATATACCAATTCCTGCACTAGTAAAAAGATGTAACAAGTGTTTATCTTCAACATCTCAGGTATCTTGGCAGTCTCACTCTTTTTGCGGCAAATTGTGGGATCAAATCGTCAAGCTGTGGCCTCTTCGTAGTCCTTCTCCAAAGCAGCAAGATCTTCCCGAGCTTCAGAGAACTCACCCTCTTCCATGCCCTCGCCCACGTAGTGGTGCACGAAAGCCCTCTTTGAATACCTGGTGTTATAACTATTTAATTTGATCTCTGACAATGGAACTGGTGTGTGTAGGTTGAATACCTGGTGTGTATGTCCCAATGATTTGAATACCTGGCGTGATGAATGTAATGATTTGATAAGGGACACCGCTGAGTCGTGCCTGAACCCACCCGTCGCCTCAAGTGAATGAACCCTTCGCAGTCGTTTTCCATCACTGCGTTCAACACAGATACTTGCAATCTTCGCGTGAGTTTCAAGTTGAGTCGTGCAAAGGCAAGACATAGAAACATGTCCAATGTTTCCACTTGATTGACATCTCTGGTTTTGCATATTTTCAAAAACCTATGCTTCTCCTGGTTTCGAACGGTTCACTCTACAGGTTCCTTCGCACCCTGCAGCGACTTGTTGAAACCACTGAAAGACTGACCAAAACAGGTCTCGTGGCGAGGACGACATACGAAGCCGTGCACCAAGGGTGTTATGGTTATCGCAGGCCCACATCAAAGGTCATGTCACGTGTCTAAACGTTGTTCAGATTTAGCGGTGCTGGAGGTGGGCATGGGGGAGGCACTGAAAGAGCCCAATGCGACCAGTTTTTGCTGTTTTTCTCTTCGTGTTATTCTTCTTCTTCTCCTCTTTCTTCTTCTTCTTCTTCTTCTTCTTCGTCTTCTTCTTCGTCTTCTCTTCTTCTTCTTCGTCTTCTTCGTCTTCTTCTTCTTCTTCTTCTTCTTCTTCTTCTTGTTTGTCTTCTTCGTCTTGTTCTTGTTCTTGTTATTGTTCTTCCTGTTCTTGTTGCTGCTGTTGCAGCAGGCAGCAAGCTTCAAGCAGAGAAACGCAAGAAGCAATAGAAGCAAGAAAAGCACAAAGCAGGAAAAACACTACAGCTACAGTAGAATTCTAGAAGCGACAGAAACGGAAAAGCCACAAAGCAAAAGAGAAGAGCACGGAAGCAGCCAGGCATAAATCAGGAAACATTACAAAAAGAAAAAGATGCTGTTCTTTATTCCAACAGCGTATGAGGGCGCTGCTACAATCAAGCCAGTCCAAAAGGACGGGGCGTTGACTCTATTACAAGTGTTACATGAGACAAGATACAAACAATTAAATTCCACGGTCCCGAATATGTTTCCGGATTGCACTTGTGTTGTTTGCAAATTTCTGGAAAGTCTGGATTGGACCTCCAGGGAATCGAACCGCTGACCTCATGAAGTTAAACCATCAAACCATATCAAAAACTACATGTTCCCCAACGGACCCCATGAAACTGACTCAAAGTGGGGAACCCCACTCTTTCGTGGCGACCATACAGCTAGATAAGGCAGAGCAAATGTTCATGTTTGTTGGAATACCCCTCCAAGGAAAACCAAAACTTTGAGGGTGAGTCTTGAGACTGGGACCGCAACGCGCGAACACACCCAAGTCCAACATCTTCTAAAACCATGCTGCATCAGGTCGAACTTGTGGTCAATGCGCGAGAAAACCTCCGCAATAGCCGTGGAGTTCGAGATCATGCAGCAGGCGCGCATGACTTTGGCCAGGTCACCCCCTGGTACCACAGTGGGCGGCTGATAATTGATGCCGCACTTGAAGCCAGTGGGGCACCAATCCACGAACTGAATGGTACCTGCACGTGTGCAGAAACCATCATGAACATAAAAAGTACACCAGCGTCCCTGAGACTATTTTTGTATGACACTCCGCCACGTCAAGTGGTTTGGCTCTCGTGCGCCTCATTTCTTGGAATCTACTGTATGTACATATATTGATGCAACCATATATGTGTTCATATTATCAATTATACATATCTATAGAATATATATATAGACGTTTAAATACGTTTACTAAACATGTGTATATATACATATACATTTATATACGTATACTTAGAATATCTAGTAAGAATATATATATACATATATATATATACACATATATAAATATATATATATGTGTGTGTAGTAGGTGTAGTAGGTGTAGTAGTAGTAGTAGTAGTAGCAGCAGTAGCAGCAGCAAGGTAGGTAGGTAGGTAGGTAGGTAGGTAGGTAGGTAGGTAGGTAGGTAGGTAGTTAATTAGTGAGTGACTTAGTGAGTGAGCGAGTGAGTGAGTAAGTTAGTTTGTTAGTTAGTAGTTAGTTAGTTTGTTAGTTAGTTAGTTAGTTTGTTTGTTTGTTAGTTAGTTGGTTGGTTGGTTGGCTGGTTGGTTAGTTAGTTAGTTAGCTAGCTAGTTAGTTAGTTAGTTAGTTAGTAGTTAGTTAGTTTGTTTGTTAGTTAGTTAGTTAGCTGGTTGGTTAGTTAGGTTAGTTAGGTTAGTTAGGTTAGTTAGGTTAGTTAGGTTAGTTAGGTTAGTTAGGTTAGTTAGGTTAGTTAGTTAGTTAGTTAGTTAGCTAGTTAGTTAGGGTAGTTACTTAGTTACTTAGTTACTTAGTTAGTTAGTTAGTTTGTTTGTTTGTTTGTTTGTTTGTTTGTTAGTTTGTTAGTTTGTTAGTTAGTTAGTTAGTTAGATAGTTAGTTAGTTAGTTAGTAGTTAGTTTGTTAATTAGTTAGTTAGTTAGTTAGTTAGTTTGTTAGTTTGTTAGTTTGTTAGTTAGTTAGTTAGTTAGTTAGCAGGAGGAGTCGTAGTAGTAGTCGTCGTCGTCGTCGTCGTGGTCGTCGTCGTGGTCGTGGTCGTGGTCGTGGTCGTGGTCGTGGTCGTGGTGGTGGTGGTGGTGGTGGTGGTCGTCGTCGTCGTAGTAGTAGTAGTGAACATCCCACGGCAAATTTTAGGGGCTGTCTCCTAGTCCTCGAAAGTTTGCTGCTTAGGCTTCTCCACAAAACCTTCGTTCACATCATTTTGTTGCCCCACGAAACAAAATGAATAGCTATGAAAGGAGAGCTGTATCAATTAATATCACCTGTATTTGGCCACAACATGTCAACCTCATCAGAATACACCCCAATAAAGAATCAGAGGGTTTCTCTGGTATCGCGATAAAACAGCTCAATGTGTTGACAAAAAAGACACGCGTCTGAATTTGGAAGTGCCTGGCCCTGATCAACTGAAAAATAAATTCAAGAAGTGACCCGAGGATAGGGGGATGTTGCTCCCCCGTCTTCAAAATGTCCATGGTACGCTTTGTCTTGATGGTGGCCACAGCCGCATTCACATCCTTGGGCACCACGTCTCCTGACGGTCAGCTTGATGCGCAATGGGCAACAACAAGTGGGACTCCAAAGGACCAAGGTACTATCCACACACAACATGTTTCTCTTCCCTTGGGCATGAGATGACATATGATTATTTTCAATGATACAAATATGATATATTATATCTCTGATATACGACTCTAAAGCAGATGTAGTCATATAAAATCATACAAAATCCCAGGACATGTTGGGCTGGTTACAAACATATGACTTACCTTCTGGGGTCAAAGTTCAGCACATGCCAGCCTGCTACGAGTATCGCTTGCCGAGTGTCCGCGGTACATCATGCAGCAGGCCATGTACTTGCCATGACGAGGATCGCACTTCACCATCATGGAAGCGGGCTCGAAGACAGACATGGTGATCTCTGCCACGGACAGCTGCTCATGGTACGCCTTCTCTGCAGAAATCACTGGGGCGTAGGATGTGAGCATGAAGTGGATTCCTGAGCAGTTGGACGCCAAAACTTTCTTGACTCAAATCTTTCGGCTCAGCACATTTAATTCAGGAGTCTTAGAATATATATATATATACATATGTGTATTATTGATAAATAGAAAAATAAATAAATAAATAAATAATAAATAAATAAATAAATAAATAAAGACATTAAAAAATAAATAATAAATAAATAAATAAATAAATAAATAATAAATAAATAAATAAATAATGACAAATTGATAAACAAATAGTTATAAAAATAAATAAACAAAACACTTGAGCAAAACCATCCAAGGATTCGAGGATAAGGGACTAAATTTGTCTGGAACTCGGTGATATCCACGTTGAGCGCACCATCGAAACGCAGGGAGGCTGTCCTGTGCTGATTCAAGTTTGAAACCTGTTTGCAGCCATGAATTTCAGCGCGTTGGGCAGGGGAATGAACCATAATAATGTGTGGTGAACACACAAATAAAGCACTATCAACTTTACCAAACATGTGTGTGCTTTGAACCATCCCAATTGGAGGTTCACTATTGACTTGGGCTTTTCCAACTCAATACATACGCGACTAGAACCGTGAAAGGGATATCCGACATCTCGATGTTGATATGTCCTGAAATTTGTGATCATCATATTCATGATATATCATCCATAATTTCGACTTCCGAATAATCTGGCGTCCCGGTGTCTAGCAGTTTTCTTGCGGCTTCATCATGCATCATCTGCGATACTTCTCATTCAAAATCCAAGTGTCAGAGAGGAGATGATCTGGGCGATCAGTCGGTTCAGGTTGGTGTAGGTCGGACGTTCGATGTCCAGGTTCCTGCGGCAGATGTCGTAAAGCGCCTCGTTGTCCTGAGAGCTGCACCGGTCAAAACAAAGGGGAGGTCACAGGAGCAGCCGTAACAAACGAGGCCACACAAGACCATAGAACGCAAAGGCCTGGGGTATATGTTGTCTTTATTTCAGATTGAGAAACGTTGTTGCCTTTTCAAACAACAAAAGCAGAACTGCCAACACCAACAATCATCACATCAACATACATCAACGAAGCATGGAGAGATACATGTTTTATCCCGCAACACTGAGTAGAAAATGGGGAGATATCCACAGGCAAGTTGCATACATGATGGTCACATCGGTGTGCTCCAGCAGGGAGTGAACGCACCTGTTTCAGGGTTCCACTGGGATGTTTGCAGAACTTGGTATGCGATCAACAAACCGGAAAATTATTGTATATTTATTTATATGTGGTTGTTGATCAAAATTCCTTTATCCCGGAACGGCCATTCTTCGCGAATAAAAATTTTACTTCCGCGAAACTTTCGCGAACTCCATGTTTATCTTTCGCGGGGCCCATGTTGGCCAACAACACCTCTTATAAAGATTCGTTCACCACCTGCCTAATTACGCCAGAGAATCACGGATCACTTCTTGATAGCCTTTTAAACATGCAGCTAGCATCACGGAACCCCTTCTCAGGGCAGATTGTTGCTGACTAGGTTTTTTGGGCAAGGTTTAGTGGCCCACCCCCTTCAACATGCACTTTGACTTTCGCCCACTCTTTCGCATAACTTTCGCGGAACTTTCGCGAAAATATCCCTATTCACACACCCAGGCCCAGGCCATCAGCAGGGGGTGCATTGAAGGCAAAGCGAACACCAAGGGCCTTGGTGCTTGGCTCTCGCAAAGCCTCACTTTTGGAAACTTGGCTACTGCATTTGGAGCTTGTTTCTTGAGACTTCAAAAAGCATCATTAGGTAGTGACAGCGGCAGGTGCAAGGATGTGCTTCAGGACCATGGCGTTTGGCTGTTGCGAAGTCTCGCCTTTGGAAGCTCGGCTGCTACCTATGAAGGGCGTGATTGTCCACAAGCACCACCATACAGGGAACTGAACCAGAACCAAACCGAAATTCTTAGTGCCCTTCTCCTGCCGGACCCCGGGCGGCAGTGGGTGGCAGCCCTTTACACAATGATTATGATATTCAACTTTCGCGAAACTTTCGCGAAACAACATTTTACTTTTGCGAACTCGAAAAAAAACTTTCGCGAGGGTTTCCAACATAACATGCACGGCTTTCGCAATTAAAACTCCTTACGCCCATTTATTTATGCATATTATTGCAACAATACTAGTTGGATCGCAAGTAAAACATAGTAAAACAACACCAATTGCTGAGATCAGGAAAATGGGAACGTCTTGCACAGGCTTCTGCGGGTTTTGACTGCCCATACAGACACACTTATCTCATATACATATTGCGATCATGTCATATGACGCACCCAGCAACCCCAATAGATTCGCCCCAAATTGCCCCCGTGCAACTCGCAGGATCGAATGTGGAATTTGAGTTGGATCTATCTTTCGTTTCGTCATTTTATTCAGCTTTCACGGATGTTCAAGGTATCCTCTGTCACATCACAAAAATGCATATTTCCTCATTGCCCTTGATGCTCCATGTCTGACCCACGCCACCTATACATCTGACCTTGAACTGAACCACTCAACTCACTCAACCCACAAACAAATGTCTGCCGAGGCACAACACGGTGTTATATGGCTCCACCACGGCAGTGGCCACCTGTGGGCAGCACCACACAGTGAAAGAGATCTTGCTCTTCTTGCCGTAGTCCACAGACCTCTGGCAATGGAATTCTTGGATGTTGGATCCTTGGGAGAGCTGAAATATAGTTGGTTCTTGTTGGTTCTTGTTGGTTCTTGTTGGTTCTTGTTGGTTCTTGTTAAATTCCCGCTATGGATATTATCATAATCACATCTAATAACCCCCTATTTAGCCCTATTTCAAAACTAACCAGGGTCAATTGGTCACTGGGCAAATCCAAGAGACAAACGCTCCAACATCAAGCAACCCAGGCCGGAACCAGTGCCGCCGCCGCAAGCGTTGTAGACACAGAAACCCTGCAATCCTGAAAGACGCGTGGCGTATGCCAAAGTGAAGGTCCCAAAATCTGATTGGAAGCACCGCAAGTTGCCAGTCATAATTTGGTTGTTTGACTGACAAAAAAAAAGTAAAAACACAGTTTTTTAAACATGCGTTTCGGGCCTGTGCAGTTGTCTGCGAGCTTACGAATCCTGTCCAACACGAGGTCGACAATTTCCTTCCCGATGGTGTAGTGTCCGCGAGCAAAATTGTTTGCTGCGTCTTCTTTTCCGGAAATCAATTGTTCAGGATGGAAAAGCTGGCGATAAGTGCCCGTTCGCACTTCATCAACCACCTGAGCGCAACACATGCACCAATGGCCGCTATTCATCAACACTTCCAAGTTGGCACAAAGAAAATACAATTTGATACAATTTGTAATTTTGAACATCAAGCGTGACACTTTACCACAATAAAATTCATCACAATTTTGAAAAATTGGGTACAGTCAAGTGTCCGTAGGCTCCAAATCCACCATCACGCAGCGAGGCACGTGTTTTCCGGCACCTGTCTCAGAGAAGAACCTAGGTTTCCCGTCAACCCATTCGACAAACGTGATACAAAGCGCGCACGAAAGAAACCGAAAAAAAAAATGTATATTCAACATGTCAAAACCAAAACGGTGTTTTTGCAAAGTTGCTAGTGGCAAACACACGCCACAAGAGACAACGCAGTGTGTCATACATTGGCAACACACTTTGGGATGTGGAGTTGGTTATCAGTGTGGCGACTTCAATTCCGCGTTCATTACAAAGAGCTGGCCACTGGGCCAACTTTTGCCCCATCGCATGCGAGCAACGTGTTGAAAGCATCATCACCGCCGCCGATAGTCTTGTCAGAAGGCATCTGACCATCTGGTTGGATGCCATGTTCCAAGCAGAACAACTCCCAGCACGCGTTGCCGATCTGAACACCTGGCTCACCAAAACATGAACTTTCCCACATGATGTGCGAAACATGCGCACATGCAACATATGCCTATGTAAACGACATGTCAGACGCGTTGGGGAGCAATGTTGATGTTTTCCGCTCACGATTGTCGAGATGGGCATGATGTTGTTCCCTGCCTCTCTTGTGCCGACCAGCCAATTTTCTCAAACGACTAACACGTAAACACTTGAAACACAAAACGAAACAGAACAGCACACTCGCATAAGTAAAGCGACGGAAAGAAAAACAACGAGAAACAAAAGATGGAAAAGAAAAGATAATGCCAAAAAGGAAACAAAAGGACGAGAGGGTCCCATATCATATGCACAAGCTTTTGCAAAGCACAGTAGAGAGCGTCATCCTTGCCCTCCCGTTCCTGGTCAGCTGTGTCAGCCTCCGCCGACAAACCTTCCAAGCCAGCCAAAAGCCTATCTGCTTTGCTGGCACCGCGCTGAATACCTTTCCACCGCCCACTCACAGTAATTACCAGGGTTAAGACCTCTACTAGAGCTGGCCTTTCCTAGCAAGTCAACTTCTTCTGCCAAACCCAGTGCATAACGGCGAAGTGTTTCAGGCCTGTGACATGGTCATGTAGCAAACAAACACTCAAAGGACTGCCAAGTTGGTTAGCTGCTGGCAAGAAATTTCTGCTGCGTCGAAACTCAGCCAACAAATTGGTGGGGCAACCACCTTTGCCTTCAAAAAAACAAAAACTGAGGCTAATGAAAAAAAAAACGCGGAAAATGAGAACGAAACAAACCTCGATTTTTTCCTCTTTGGAAGTTTGAAATGAAACCTAAATAATTGCCTAAATTGGCAAACCTCACTTGGACGAAAGTAGCAAAACCTGAGGCAAATGAAAAAATACGGAAAATGAAAAAAAAAACGAGTAGTAGAAATAAATCCGATTTGTTTGCAATTCTCGGGATTTGAAAGCTGAACTGGCAAACCCTCACTTGGGCGAAATCAGCAAAAACTGAAGCCAACGAAAAAAAATAAAATTAAAAAAAAACAACAATGATGCCCAAATTTGGCAATGAAAAACAGATGAAAACGAAACAGGAAAAATGACAACCAAAATGAAACAATGAAAAATCATGTTCGTCTGTAGCCGCACCGGTTTTCTAACGGTAACCGGTGAGCCCTGAGAAATTTGAACACGTTCAGGCAAATTATGCGAGCCCCATTGAAGCCAGCGATGGTGCTAAACCAAGTCGCCCTCGCTGTTTCTGTAACAAACTGCTGTTGGTAAAACCTGTAGAGTCGGTGACAACCAGGCCGTAGCACCCTTGCCAGCTGCTTTCATGGTCTGCCTCCATTGCTGAAGGCCTCGGGCTTTGTGCAGCTTAGCTTCAGCAGCCAATTTGTTTTCCAACTGAGCGACATTGTCGTCCATGTTGTGAGACCAACGACCAACCCAAGCTTTGCGGCAAGAAAGTTCCAAAGCAATGTTGTACGAAGGACGACCTTGTTGTCGAAATCTTTCATAGTGATGCATAGCGGCCCGAAGATGCGCCCACCACTGCCAGATTCCAACCTATGCGAGGTGACGGCGGTGCCCTCTAGACGAGGGTGCATACATCCAAACCTTAGCTTTAACAGCAGCCATGGATTGCAACACCGCTTCATTATAGTCCGTGGCATCTGAAGATGGAGGCCACGCCAACCTGAGCTGGACCGGATCATGAGGTTCAGGAGGACGACCTGCTACAAACGCCGGACACTGCCATACCAAATGTAACCAAGAAGGGAAAGCACTCGGATCATCACAAAAAGAACACCCAGGTTGAGCAACATGCTCATAGATTACCTGGTAACAACTGAGCGAGAGGGCCGCACCAGTTAAAACTGCTCTACCATGCAGGTTTGCACTTGCAAAAAGTCTTTGAGCTTCTTTGCACCTTGCAGAAGGAAATTGCACATTGACCAAGCTTGTGCTGTCACGCCTGTCCTGACAACAGAAATTTTTCCAGCAGAAAAAGACTCACGCAGCTTGTGCCAACTTGCAGTCATGTTGTCACTCAGAAGGCGAAGGTCACCTTCTTGTTCATGACTCCATGTCCAAGGTGCAGTTTGTTCCCAACCCCATCCCTGCAAGACCGCAGTCACCCTGCGTGTCCATGCACCCAAACCTTCGTTCTATTGGAGCCCACTAAGGGCCGCAGCTCTCAAGGCAACCATGCTTTGTTGACATGCCATGAAACCAGTGGAAAAAGCATGACCGTTCAAAATAAGGCGTAGATGTTTGGAAGCCATGTGATGAACTTCAGCCAGTTTGCGGAAATCAGCAAATAGTTTGTTTTCAACTGAGTTTGGTTTGGAACTTTATTGAGCCACCAGCCCCATGAAAGTTTTGGACAATTCTGGTTCTGTAAAGTTCTTCCTTCACCTGAACTGATACGGGAGCCCGTGCAAGTCGCATGGCTTCTTCATGCCTTTGGTCCAGCCGCCGATGTTGAGAGGGCCCCACTGCTTCTGCTGAAGGTGCCAAAATGTCAACGCCCAGAACGCAGATTTGATCGTTGATTTGGTCCAGTGTCATGCCTACCTTCAAAAAGGCCATGCGTTGGTGTTGGTTTTGAGCAAACGCACTGGTCTTATGATGGTTCTCAACCAAGCCCAACCTCACGAGGCCCATCTACGCTGGGTTTGCATCAGCTCCTTAACCGAATCAGCCACCAACACTCTGTCATCCAAAAAAGTGGATTGTTGCACACCACTGGCTGAGATATTTTGCACTGCATTACCTAAAATCAAGAGAAGACCCAAAGGACTCACAGGAACGCCTTGAGGGAATGAAGTGTGAACCTGCGCCGGTGATTCTAAAGTGCACTTACCTACATAACTGTAAATACCTCTGCTGACACAGCCAAACATGTTCCAAAAGAGAAACCAAAGCCTCAGGCCATTTGTGCAATCGCAAGTGTAGAATTACCAGCTTAGGATCGACATGGTCAAAACACTTTGCGTAGTCCAAGGCAAGGGCTGGAGCTCCAGCATCAAGTTTGGTCATGACTTCTTTGAGTGCTGTGGCAACCCAGCGGCCTTGCACACCACCATGCGCCTGCGAAGGCACAACTTGAAGGATCCACTTCCGGACCGAATCCTGTGCCATAAATGTTCCAGTCAAAAGTCTGTTGGCCGACATGGCTGCATTGGTTGACCAACATCTTTTCGGAGATGGACTTGGCGAACATCGCCCCAAACAAATGGCCACTCTTGTCTGCGGCCCCACTGCAAAACCAGATTGCGTAAAAGTTGACAGGCTCCGAGGGGGAGCAAGGCGAGGTCAGTAGTCGCCCAACCATCAAGGCCTTGAGCATTGCCTGCCATCTTACAGGCTCTGGCCTGGAGCGCTTCTGCCGAAGAAATCCACGAATCACATTGGAAAGGTTGCCGGAAAGAGCCTTCAAGCAACCTGTTCTGTAACTCACCCTATCTGTCAGCGTTGCGGTGCCGAATGTCTTGCCAAAAGTTCTGGATCTCATGTAGCCCTTCTTCAGGACCATTAGTGGGATGCCCCTCCGAATCGAGCACAACTGGCGCGGGGCCGAGGCCATTTGCTGGCTTGCTTGCCGCCTGGCAAGTTACAGGCATGGTAGTTACAAAGAAGGTCACTTCGGAAATTACTTGGTCGGTTGCGTGAAGTTCAGCGTCAGCAGCGAAAAGGTCGCGCACCCCTGAAGCCAGGAGAAAAAGATGCATCTACCATAATTGCAGCAGCACGTAGTTTGTCTTCCAAACAAATAGAAAACCAACGCCATTCAGCTTTGCCGATTACATCTGCTGGGAGTTGAGGATCGTCTTGTTCCCACATGTTTTCCAGAGCAGCGCGCATGGAAGAAGGGCAGGAACAAGAAGCAAAGGATGTAGTAGGTGCCACTGCCTTGTAGTCCAAACGTGGGGTGTCTCTCTGGAGAGCGAAAGCCATAGCTTTGTGATCGCCAAATTTTGCCTGCCGAAAGCCAAGCGAGGATCCTTGGAGGTCAGTGGACACAAGGCAATAATCAATGGCACGCTTACCTTCCCATCTTGTGGGTACCCACTCACCATCTTCTGTCCAAGCAACAAGCTGTAAATCAGGAGCGGAAGTGAGAAAATTCTCCTCGGGAGTGGGGTTGAAGTCACCTATGATGCCAAAAGACATGTTTTGTTGGAATGCCATCAATCTTGCAGCTTCCACATAGCTCCAAAGGTCCGAACTGTCATGGTCACCAGGGCTGCGCCAAAATGAAACCAAAATCATCCCTTGTAGTTGCAGAAGCGTAGCAGAACCAAAAGCTTGACCAAAGCTCCCCAAATCGACTGCTGCAAGGCTTTTTAACTAACCAACCAGTTCCACGAAATCTGCCATCCGAAGAAGGTCTGTCAGGGTTGGAAATCAAGCGGAAACCAAGAAAATGAGCACGGGCAGCTGCACGGCCAATGTTATCTTTTTTGAAAGAAAGCTCCTGCAAGGCAACCAAATCTGGTTTGCAAGTGACTGTCTCAAGATACCGCATGAAACTCCAGAAATGGGCTTCACCATCGACATTCAAAGTCAACAACGACAAGGTTGAAGTGGATGGTCCACGGTTGGGTTCCACTCCCTCTTCCACCACTTTGGCCTTGCGCGCCATGCGGAGGTGACGGGAGATCCAGAGACTCCTCTCAGTGCGTCGGGCAACGATTACAGCAGCCCGGCGCTTGTCATGGTATTCAGCTTTTGGAGCTCCACGTCCACAATGTTTTCGGAGAGCCTCACGCCGCAGAGCAAAGACTTTCTTCTCGGAAGGAGAGAGATTCCAATTTTTTCCCAGTCGCGCTTGAGCGCGTCCGATCCTTTGTTGTAAAATTGCCTGGCTGCACGACTTCTCAAATTTGCACTGCGACCATCTGCTCCTTTGCAAATAGAACCTGCTTCCACGTCAATTTTGAGGTACGTTGCCCATTTCTAAATTTGAAGACAGGTGGCACAAGTGTAGGCCACGTTCAGATCTGTGGC